GCTTTAATATACCTACAATTTTCTCTCATCTTTTTTTTTTTCTTCTTGCCTTGTAACTGTTATCATTTTTTATAAATTTTGCAAATATTTACCTACTTAAAATTTTCTTAGATTAAGGACCTGCCCGAAACGCTGCACGTACTAGTGGCTTTACAAGATTGTAATTACCATATTATGTATCCTCACAATCCCAATGTACCTTCTTGTATATATATAAATAAATAAATAGTTCATACAATGCCTAAAGCCACTATTACGCAAAGCGTTTCGGGCAGGAAAAACACTAAAGGCTAAAACTTAATACTAATTAAGATTAAAGTATAAATTGTGTTGAGAAAATATAAAAATAAAATAGGGGGAACATGGCAGAAAAATAGCAAATATACAATTTGGTCGACAAACAGCATTGTTTAAAATAGCAGACATAGGTTGACATTTTAGAGGTAAGGTAGGTTACAGGGAATTAATTAGGTAGTGCTTAGTTTTTATCTTAAACTGGTTAAGTTCTCTTATGTAAGTACCTTAACCTAAGTACCTAAGTACCTTATCTTAAGAACTGGATAGGTACTCGGTACCTAGTTGTGCTTGCGGGGGTTGAGCTCTGGCTATTTGGTCCCGCCTCTCAGCCATCAATCAACTAATGTACAGATTCCTGAGGCTACTGGGCTCTTATCATATCTATATTTGAAACAGTGCATGGAGTCAGCCTCCATCACATCACTGCTTAATGCATTCCACCTGTTAGCTACGCTGACACTGAAAAAGTTCTTTCTAATGACCCTGTGGCTCATCTGGGTACTCAGACTCCACCTGTGTCCCCTTGTTCGTGTACCTCCCGAGTTAAAATGTTTATCCTTATCTACCCTGTCAATTCTTCTGAGAATTTTGTAGGTAGTGATCATGTCTCCTCCTTACTCTTCTGTCTTCCAGTGTCGTGAAGTGCATCTCGTGCAGCCTTTCCTTGTAACTCATGCCTCTTAGTTCTGGGACTAGCCTAGTGGCATACCTCTGAACTTTTTCCAGCTTCACCTTGTGCATGACAGGTACGGGCTCCATGCTGGGGCAGCATACTCAAAAATTGGTCTTACATATCCGGTATAAAAGGTTCTGAATGATTCCTTACACAGGTTCCTGAAGGCTGTTCTGATGTTAGCCAGCCTCGCGTATGCTGCAGATGTAATTCTTTTTTATGTGTGCTTCAGGAGACAGGTTTGGTGTGATATCAACTCCTAGATCTTTCTCTCTGTCCTTTATCTCCTGTTTGGTATCCTGTGTCTGGCCTCCTGTTTCCACTGTCTAGTTTCATTACCTTGCATTTACTCGGGTTGAACATTAGTAGCCATTTGTTGGATCATTCAATCAGTCTGTCTAGGTCATGTTGTAGCGTGTGCGTGTGTAAAAAAAAATAATAACAGTTGATTAATTGACAGCTGAGAGGCGGGCCGAAAGAGCAGAGCCCAACTCCCACAAGCACAACTAGGTGAGTACAACTACTAGTAGATGAATCTAGAGCAGACATCCAGGGGCCGGATTCAGGAAGGTACTTACGAAGGTTTTTCCTCTTAGCTACGAATGTTTTCCTTCTTAGCGCCTTCGTGGCGGCTACGTCGGTATTCAAGTAGCTACACTAAGTGGAAAAACCTTCGTAAGTTCATTCCGGGATCTAAGTGTGGTTTCGACCACTCATAGCTTTACGTAAACTGGATATAACTCAATTTTTCTCTACTACACAACACTGGGATCGATTTTAAGATTTTGGAACAAACAAAAGATTATAAAAATTGTATCTAGTGAAGATGAGTCCTTCGTGTTAGTTATATATGCATTCTCTGCTTGAAACTTAAAGTAAATATGTCTTTTATGATAGTAGAATTAGTTTTATAATAGCAAGATATTATACCCGTAGTTATTAAGTAAATAAACACTGGTGAACATGAAATATGAGAGAAGGTGATGAGCCCTGCCTGATGGGATCATTTACTATCACCAAATGCCCCTGTTCACCTAGTAGTAAGGGTGTACCTTAACTATACATACCCATTTCTAATTTATTTAGTTTGGTTTTATTTTGAAATTAAATCTGGGCGAGACATAAAATAAAAATATGCTGCACAAATGATGTTAGGTAATGAGAAGGGTAAAAATGTCACAAACTTTATTCATTGAATACTAAAGCTATAATTATGACTATATAGACTATTAAAAAAGAGAGGGAAGTAGGGGTCCAAGACCTCTTCCTGTTATACAATTTGGGTGTGGAACAAGTAATTATCAAAAGAAGGCACCATGCCGGGAAGGCTATGTAGCAGTAAGGCAGTGAGGTGAGGCAGCTACTTATTTGAGAAATGCTTATTTTATTTACCTTATAAGCTGAGGCAACTTATTTTATTTGAGGAATACTCAGCTGATTCCTCTACATTTAGCATGGAACAAATTTGTGTCCAAGACCTCTTCCTGTTACACAATTTGGCTGTGTGTAACCAAACTAGAAGTGCTCTACAAATCAAGGGACCCAGAATGTGAATGACCTCCCGAATCATGTCAAAGGCTGTACCTCTCTCAACCAGTTTAAGAGTTAAACCAAGTACTGCCTAATTAACTCCATGTAACCTAACTTACCTCCTAAATGTCAACCCATGTCTTGCTAATTTTTAAACAACGCTGTTCACCAACATGTGCAATTGCTGATTTATGCTAGGTTAACCCCCCTTTTTGTATTTTTTATTCCTTCTTTCAACACAATTTATACCTAATCCCGATTACTATTAAGTTTTAGTCTGTTTTTTCCCCCACACCTTGCCCGAAATGTTATGAGTATTAGTGGCTTTTTTTTGTGTGTACTAGCTCTGTCTATAAATCCAACATTATGTTTGTAAATCAACTGTATGTACTTTTCCTGAATAAAATGTATTTATTATTTATTTTTTAATCAGTAAGTATTAAAAGAAGGCACCAAGCTGGGAAGGCTATGTAGCACCATTGTGTGTAACAATAAACCAATTTTTTTTTTAACAAATAATGCACCTATATGGTAAAACAAATCCTGTCAGCTGTAAAAAATATTGATGCAGTTATTTAAATGAAAAATATAATGAAAGAAATATTACTGGTTTATTTTTATCCTATCTTTTTGTACTGTACAGTATATCCAAGGAAGTGAAAAATTGAGACATAATGCACAATTTAATGAATGATTAGCATGGATTAGCAGTTCAAAAGAAGTATGACTATTACATATCAACATGAGATCTTAATGATCCATGGTCAACATGATTTAATAAGGATAATACAGTACTGAATTTGTAATAATACAAACTATAATTTAAAATCTTTATTACTGATTTTTTGTTATTAAGAAGATTAGGTATACACAGCAATGTACTACTACCCTATTCTATATGGAATATTACACAGTGTAGATAAAAAACTAGCTATAAGTTTATCTAATACTCCCATCTCACAGGATGGTTAGACATACTGTACATGGAATCAAGTTAGAAAATACCAGCCTCAACACAAAAAACAAATCAACTCTGACTAAACAACTCTAAGCAATTTTCACAAGAGGTAAGCACTGAATCATGGAAACATTATATTATAATTACTCTTACCAGTTTCTACCAGACTCCTCTCAAACAATGTATTTTTAAACATGTTTAGGTATACACAGCAATGTGCTGCTTCCCTATTCTGTATAAAGGACCACACAGTGTAGATCAAAAACCAGCTACAAGCTCACCCAACATCCTCACCTCACAGGATGGCCAGTCATACATGGAATTAGGAGAGAACAAAATACTTAATGCTGATCTATTAGCCTCTACTGTCAAAATCTGGGTGCAGCACAAGAATATCTTCCAATATTCCTGAGTGTATGAAGTAATTACAGAGCTCAAAATACCTCATACCATTTGGTATGAAGTCACTGATAACAGGGCAATCACAGATATAGTGTTGGAGAGTATGTTCTCTCAAGTAGGACTGAAAACAGATGTTTTTTTCCACCAAGAGGGCTATAAACCCATGGAACCGCCTACCTTATAAGGTCCTGAATCTAGGTCCTGATTGAGCTTCCACGCTCTCGTCTCGCATCGAGCTCCTCGACTCCGGCGGTCCGTCTAATTACCACAAGCTACACAAGCTTCAGAAAGCTTCCTGGCAATACGTTAGTAATGAATAAATATGATATATTTACTCATTATAATGTTGGTGCTGAACGTACAACACGAAAAAACAATTTTAATCTGAAAAAGTATCTTTTTATAAAGAAATTAGGCGAAAATAAAAAGCTGGTGACGCCAAATCAAGTCGACGATCCAAGCGTTGGTTAGGTTAGGTTAGGTTAAATTAGGTTAGGTTAGGATAGGTTAGGTTAGGTCAGCCTAACCTAACATATCATATTTATTCATTACTAACGTATTGCTAGGAAGCTTTCTGAAGCTTGTGTAGCTTGTGGTAATTAGACGGACCCGGACAAATGGTGGAGGGAATCTTTGACAGACCACTGGGTTCCTGTTCTCCTCGAGTCCACTGAAGTGTTAATGGCTCTCAGGTAAATTCAAGTATTTTGTCTCGATGACTCTCCCTCCCTCCATTAAATCCCGCACTATCTGTTTCTCACTCTCCCTCTCACTCCTTGACACAATATATTCTTCCACGAACAAAGATCACATTCACTCTAAACATCTACCACTTACGGACTACTCATGCCCGTTCCACGTCTTGGGTGGTTTTAATCATAATCATTCAATCAAATAATTCTTGACTATATTCGAAATTGTGACGCGAGACGTGCTCCGTTCATTCACTTGCAGCTCGGAACTGGATAAACACTATTCTAAATCAGTTTCCACAGAATCTAACTTAATACGCTAATATGCGTAGGCCCGGGCCGCAATCATATAAACCCACAATACGTAATAATAGTGACTGACATTAGAGAAATCTCTTGTCAGGAACTACGAAAGCAACGAATCTTAATTCGAAACTTGATATAGTTTACGATCCAGAGTGAACCATCCGGGGCCGGGTGAGTGGCCAAGGTGACGGGTCAGTGCACCACACACACTTGCCGTCGTTGGACGTGTGCTGCTCGGCTGGTGGTCATAGGTGACTTATTTGTTGGAGTTCTTGATAAGTTGACATATAGATTTGTAATGGAGATACATGCTTAAATCAGGTCTCTACGCTACACGGGCGTGCATAAAATTGTGTTTTAACTTCAGTAATGGGGAATAACATAATTAACAATGAGGACATGAATGTGCTCAAATAATAATGATTCAAAAGATTGTATGCAAGAATGAGTTAAGGACAGGTGTTACATATTAATAGACCATCATTACGCATTGAGATAATTCCAGAATTAAAGCTCTTGGCCCCCCCCCCCCCCCCACCTCGTTGCAAACTGAAATGACCGATTTTAAATTTGGTATGTAAAAATTTGCCAATCCTTAACTGTAGCCTCTGTTCACCCAACAGTAAAATGGGTACCTGGTTGTTAAACCATTTGGCGGATCGTATTCTGGGAAAACTATGATTAATATTTATATTACCCGGAATACGACCCACCAAATCGTTTAACAACCAGGTACCCATTCACTGCTAGGTGAACAAAGGCTACAGTTAAGGATTGACCCCCAGTAAATCCTCCCCGGCCAGGATACGAACCCAGGACAAAGTGCTGGAAACGCTTTGTCCTTTGTTACTAATTAAATTGCAGCTCTTGACACATAAATACATCCTGCTAGCATGAAAAAAACTAAAAGTCGACAGATAAATTGATTGCTCCCATGCAGCACTTTATTTTAACTCATTTCTCAGGGCCACTATAGCTAAATGGTTCATTTAATTACCCAAAGCTTCCTAGCATTATGAAAGTAATGAACTGAGGTATATTTACTCACTATAATGTTGCTGAAAGTAGAACATGGGAAAAAAAATTTACGTACATAATTTTCTTATGAAATTAAATGAAACTGACAGGTAATGCCACAGGAAGTAGCTGCTCAAAGCGACAATGTTGTGGCTTGGGTAATTAGATGGATCCAATTTTGTTAAATTATTTGAGTAAGTTTTTTTCACGTTCTACATTTAGCATCAACATTATAGCGCATAAATATATCATAGTTCTTTACATGGGATATATTTAATAATGCTAGTAAACTTTGGGTAGCTTTGGGTAACTACAGACCCCAGCTAAACCACAATCCCAGGCAGGGCAAGACATACAGTATGGGAAAGTCTCCTTACACCCATTGCCTCTGTTCACCTAACAGTGATTAGGCACCTGGGCGTTAGTACTGTTGTGGGTCACACTTGGGAAGTGGTCAAATGCTGCATATATCGGAGGTACTGTACATTCTAATTTCCCACAAACGCCGCAAGGCTTAGCATGAGTAAAATAGTCGGAAGGCTATACATGAAATATGCTGTAAAGCAAAGAAACTAAGAGCCACAAGGCAAAGAGTAGGCCGGAAAGTTAGTCCAAAAAAGGGTTCACTACCAAACTACTGCAAGAGGTGATTCTTTTTAACCTGTATTTTTGTACTTCCTGGATGCAAATTAACAGTATGGAGAGAAAAAAATAAATTTTTTTCCCAGAATATTTTTGTGCACCACTGGGTTTTGAGCTACTGTATTAACAGGTGTGCAGCCCAGGGGTTAAAGAAATTGGGACGATATAAAATATTTAGGTGATACTCGATGATATATTGAGTATTTAAAATTTGCAATCACAGCAAAAATGTGCATTTTTATACCCAGGCACAGATACTGTAGGCAAAATTTGTAGTTGTTACCATGGCACTTTTTACAATTTGTATATGGCAATTTAAATTTTGTCTGAACACATTGCATTCCCATCTATACTGTTCTAAATTTGTTACTTTAAATTGATTGGTGGACTTGTTTCCAATCATTATACTGTAGAATACTATTTTCAGTTTTAAATGCAAACTTGTTTGAAGTCGGCCACAAATGTAATTTTGGGGGGGTCCTGTATTCTCATTCTGAATAAATGGGTTAGCATTTGAGAAAAATGGTTATTTAATTTTCCTGTTGTATTTTGGTAATTCTTTTTATATAGCTAAAAAGTTTATCAGGCATGCTTTTTTTTCCTCTTTATCAATGATACATCTCTAATAATCAAGATACTGTACTTTATTCATAACCTGATTGCTTGTTTGGTTCATAAAATTTATAAATATATACTGAAGTAATTTTTAAATAATTTCACCAATATTTACAATAATAGCAATTTCACTGTTTAATAAAAAATACTTGCCAATTTTTTTCAGTTCAATGAAGTCAGTATGAGTCGAGGCAACAGAAAGAGCTTTCCCGACCGATTAAAGAGATGGTTAAAATTAGACTCTGGAAATGTGTTACCTGATCAAAGAATTTCTTTGACAGAAGAACTTAGTTGTGAACTTGGTGTAGAATCCCCCACACCTACTAGAATGAAAGCCATCAAAGAACTCGATGAATTACTGTCAGTGAAGATTCTGGAGGAGGTGAGTATATTGGTCTTAATTTGAAGTGGCAAAGTTTATTTTTAATTACAGGTATAGAATTGTTAAACAGAGAAGATGGAAATGGGCGATTTGTCCAGCAGGCATCTGGATAGCGTTATTAAAAAAAAAAGAATAGCTAGGTTACATCGGTTCCTATATTATGTAAATGTTGCAGCAACTTATGCCAAGGTACAATACAGTGTATTTATAAAAGTTTGACATTAAAAGTGTTTTAAAAATTAGCTTGGTTGCTAGTTTTTATCATTTTAAAAGGTAAATGAGAAATATTCATGCACACAAATGCCATGGAATTTTCAACAGGCCCTTTGGAATCTGTTGCCTTCTTTAAATTAATATAATTTTAAAGTATGTTGAATATGAACAATTGTAGGTTTCGAAAGACTGTTCATTACATATAACCCATGTGGTATTTGCTGGCAGTGGAGGATTTTTTACATTTATTACTTAACAGTAAGTCATACTACTATTGTCTATTTCCCAATATAAAATGAACAATAACTGGTAAAACTTGTACAGTGGACCCTCCAAACAGTTTTGTAGTTGAGCTGGATTTGCAAGCATGTACTTGCCTAATTGTGCTTGTGGGGGTTGAGCTTTGGCTCTTTAGTCCTGTCTCTCGACTGTCAATCAACCAGTGTATTGACTCTTGAGCCTATTGGGCTCTATTATATCTACATGTGTTTCCATATATGTGCCTGTCTTTTATTGGTTATCACCAAATTTTCTAGGTTTTATTGCACCTCACTAGTTTCATAAGCTAGGTGCATAGTGCTGTTCTTGAATCATCATACATCAAAATTAGTTATGGCTGTGGAGAGAAGGAACCCAACTAAAAAATGACCGAAGTGGCCAGCCATTTTACATATCTGGGATGTATGTGTAAAAATTTTTTATGGTCGGTTATGAGTTGGGTCAGAGTAAGTAACTGTTGGAATTAAAGCTCTTGTTAGCCCACCCCCACACCTACCCACTAAAGAAAAAACAGGATACAAATGGAGCAAAAGGTCTGCATGAAGACATGGTGATGCCAATTATGCATGGTTGTGAGGCAGGTATGAATATGGAAAGTAAATTAATGAAAATGAGAAATCTGGAGTGAAAATATTGAAATGAGCATACAAAAATGGTTTGGACCGTGTTGAATAAATGGATGATGGTAGACATGAAAAGAGCAAGTAAATTTAAGGGTAGGAAAAGGCAAGCTAACATGGAGTGTAAGACAGCATTAGGTACGGTAAAGGATATGGTCGAGTGGAAGCAGTTTATAAGGAGTGAATATATAGTACTACTGTACTGTATTTCTATCATATGTGAATTAACATTTTAATTGCTCTATATACTGTATGTAGCTTTTTAATGTGGTTGTGATGTGGATAATTTGAATAGATTGTCTAATTTCCCTTCTAACAGAGTATTGAGCACATTATGATACAGTAGTAGTAGGTGTCCATAAGTCTTGGGAGACTATGGAGTTGCACTCTGGTTGTCGGTCTGGAGTGGCCTCTTAAGGGTGCAAAGCCAGGGTAGGTTAATACAGAGGAGCTGTTGTATCAAATATATACTGTATTTGATATAACAATGGTTACAGTAGTTTGATGTGTGGCACGGTCATAAGGGAAGGCTGTAAAGTACAGGTGGTGGCTCAGACCATGGCTGGTGGCAGGGTCTGTAAGGTGCAGCTATAGACCATCAGTCTGAGACTGCTAGGTTAAGGCAGGTTAGTGATACTACTACTGGCTGTTCTGTGGTAATGATCTGATGCTATGGTCAGGTGGTATGTAATTGTCCTCCGGCTCAGCTCGGACCAATCCTGCTTGTTAGTTAGCAGTTAAGGGCAAACTGCTTGGTTCTTGGAATTGTGTAGACATTTGTGTAGTTCTAACCACAGAGGGCATTGGGTGCTTTGTTAGTGTCATACTCAAACGAATAGAATTCCAGCATTCCTGCTTGCTGAGGATCTTTCTCAGTGGGAGCATACCAAGTCTGTTCTGCTGGACTGATCTGGTCACCTTATAGTGTAGCACAGCAATATTCTAAAGTTCAATGAGCCTTGGAGGTGTAATACGTATTGGGCATCAGTCTTTATCAGGTTATAAGGGCAAGATAGCAAAACTGCTAAATCTGAGATTTGTCATCCATAACTGACAGTTGATATGCTCTGAAGTAAAGCCAGGCTGTTAAAACCAAACCACTGACAGATAGCCCTGCTAGTCTAAAATCTCCATAATCTGCATCAACCAACTTGGTCCTATTTGGGCTGCTGAAGCCAGTAGCTTGAATACTTTTAAAACTAAAGCTGCCATCATCTGCAACTGTGATACAATGCTTTCTAAAATTTTTCACCTTGAACATTGTGCACTTGATGCAGTCACTTGCCAACCACAAGATTTTCATACTAAGTGTGGCAAGTTTAAAGTTTGTGAGAATAGTGATTGGTACTGATGTTGACATAAGCCTGGAAGTTTACTTGGTTCTTGAACATTTAGTTGCCAGGTGCTATCTTATCCGATATAAAGGTATATTTGCTATCCAGTTGGTAAATAGCAATGCAGAGACTACATAAAATACTGTACTTAGACACTGTTACCTAGATTACTCTTATGCCCCCCCCCCCCACCTTTTATGCATTACCCAGCAAGTAAAATGTGACTGCCTGGTATACAAATTCAGTGATATAAATTTGTCTGCTTGTCTTACATAGGTATATATATTGTATCCTAGAAATTGTGCAGTCTCTATGATGTGGATTATTCTTGAATACCCATCAAGGGTGATATTATCTAAACTGTAAAGATTGCTGTAGCATGATGGGAAGGGGGGGGGGGGGCATTATTTCATATCTTTTAGTCATTGTAAAATCAGTTGCTTTATCCAGTGTTGCATTCCATCTATGCCTTGGGACTTGCATAAGGTAATAAATTGACTTTTGTATGTAGATAGTTGCAAATAAACTATTGAAAACAATTTGAGACCCTTAATGCCTGTTGCAATTCGGATTGTTAAACATCTATTTAATTGTATTCTACTAATGATCAGTTAGAAATAGTGCTAGTTACTGTGTAACAGTCCTTCATCTACAATGATTCATTTAGACAAGTCCATGAACAGCTAAGAAGGCATCAGTGTCAATCATTTAACTTCCCTCAAGGTTTAAGATGGGTGTAAGGCTTCAAACTCTGGATTGGCTATTGCCAGGCTATTGTTTTCTTGATTATACATAGATGCAAGATGACCATGATTTAAAATTTTCATGGTGTCTTTAGAGTTGAAGTGGTCTGTAGTTTAATATCTGCACGTTAAATTCATAAAGGCAAGTTTCATATCTGGCACTACTACCTACATAAAATCATTTTGAGGGAACTCAAAAGCACTGCAAACTTCACACCTGAAGGTAAGAGAATCGACAACCTATGAAGTTAGTGTAATGGCACTGCAGGTTTGGAATTGGAATAACTGATTACCTACAGTTCACTAGCAAACATAAGGATTTCTGCTAGAGTTCCCAGGTGTTTTGCTTGTCTTGGACTTTGCCATGTTTGGGACCCCATTTGCATGTGTAGTAACAGTATTTAGTGTTTACTTCATGTGTGGGTATTTATAAGCCTCACTAGTGTGCACTTTGGATTCTATTAATCTCGAACTGCATGTGCTTAAGGCAGCCCTTCCCTAGGTACTTGTAGATGTTGCTCCTACTTTCTTGGTGGGTTTGAGTTTGCCATAAAGGCTGGCCTACTTCTCAGCGACTTGCCCATATTGGTGCAAGAGTTATCTCCTCGTCAAAGCTCCAGGGTTGGTGTCATTCAGGGGGTTTAATGATTGAGGTGCACTAGGGTTTGTATGCTTGTACACGAAACATGCTGCAGATGCCTTTTGCAGAATTTGAGCTATCTTCAATGTCTGCTCATCTGGCAAACATCCCTAGTGCCTGGTGTCCTGCTTTGGTCCTTCCCTACAGTCCCTGGCAAGCTCGGTGGGCCTTTGGTGTGGATGACTGTTGATTGGCCACCGAACCTGCTCTCGTTGAATTTGAGGAATGTCCATATGTTTTGATAAAAATAAATGTTCATTTGTACAGTCTTTATCTGCTGCCTGTTGGGTGCTTATTACCCTCAAGCATGTGGTCTGCAATGATTGGAATTGCCAATCTCTAGTTTTAACTTGAAGCCTCTGTCTAACGTCTTGGTTTACAATTTTTTGTTTAATTTTAATTAAATTTGTAACAGGAGGGAGATTTCTCGGTTCTTTGCCATTCTCCTTCTGCTGCGTATCTGAGTCAGTGGACCTGGTTCTTCCTCTTGCTCTGCTGTGTGTGTGTGTGAATCAGGGCTGCTATTAGCTGTAGATGTAGCTTGGCCTTCTCCAGTGATTGCCCCCTTCCATGTCTTCACCAGAGATAGTCGAGCCATTGCTCCTATGGGACCTGTTGCTGTCCCTTTTCGGGTAGGGGATGTATTTAGCTCTGATCCTTTGTGTGAAAACACACTCGTGTCTGTCCAGGCATCAGGCATGGAACTCTACTTTGCTCTGGGGTTGGGGAGGTGGGTTCCTGGTTGTCTTAACTTGTCCTGGTCTCTAGTTCCCTTAGCAGGTAGTGGTGTTTTTCAGGACAGGTGGAGTTTTACTTGACCTCCATTACTATGTGGTTCCTTGACTGTTGCTATCTGGAGCATACAAAGCAAAGCCCACACAAGAAGCCAGATAGGAAACATGCATGTGAAGCAAAAATTAAAATATAGAAAAGTATACAAAGCAAATGGCCACCGCAGGAACAAGTCTAAGGACAGCTGGCCCTTGGCAAACCCGTCTGCAGGTTGTATAAAAGGCCCAGAATACTGTCCAGTTGAACATCAGCAACAGAACTTGGTAAGGAAGATGGCTGCACACAGCTGAGCTGCCTGATGGTGACATTTGTGCTGAGTTTTGCTATAATTTTGAATGTTTCTTCAAATGTGTCATTTGCAGACTTGTTTGGCAGTTTTAAGGCTAAAGTCTGTTAACCCTCCAGTTGTCTGGAAAGTTTCAATGACTTTCTGGATGCTTACCCAGTGTGGTGGCGCAGCAGTCACTCATTCATTGGCCTCTGGCTTTGTGAGGCAGAGGTTGGGGTGGGTGCCCACATCTTGTGTGGCCAATTAGCATGGAGCAATCTTGGCAAGATAGCTTCAGGGAGTCACTGGAGGGGTTCCCCAGATTTTTTATGGTTATAAAGTATGCTAGTAAGGTAACCATAATATAAAAATTTTTACCTTGACCCAGTACGGGTTCATGACCAGTACACTGAAGAACCTTGGCTCTAAAGGGATCTGCTATAAGGCAGTCCAAATTTTAGAGGTTTTATCAATTTAATGCCTATATGAATCTGAATATTCAAAATTCTTATTGGATTGCTCCTCCAGAAATTTAGTGGTGTATTATACAGATTTTGGAGGTTACAATACAGCATTAATTTTTTTGGAGGCTGCACAACAATTTAAGACCCTTTACTGCATTTGCATGGCATTTCTGATTTACTGAACGTAGTGATACTGTACCTTCATTTACGAATTTAATCGGTTCCTAAAGATGGGGTCGTAACTCAAATTCGTGACTCGAAACTAATATTCCCATAAGAAATAATGTAAATTGAATTAATCCGTTCCATATTCCCAAAAATATTAATTTAAAAATACATTTCATACATATGGTACAAAATGTTTGTGTATTATGTAAGTTATAGCTTGCCTTTATTGATGACTCTTGTTGGCGTATGGATGAGGATGAGTTGGAGGAGGATGCCTGGGAGGATTAGGATGCCTGGGAGGATTAGGATGAGTGGGAGTAGGAGGATGAGTTGTTGTAAGGGACTCCCCTTACAACATCAGGCAGTGATGACTTCTCTGGGGTACTCTTCTACATTTTGCAGGCATACCACTAGGACCTGGTTGTGGCTCACTGCTTGCTTGTCTAAGAATGTCTAAAGACACTAGTTTTTCCCTACATTTTAACACTTGTCTGTAGTGAGACATCACATTGGCATTTGAAAGGTCAAGGTAACAGCCTGCTACAACTTTATCTGGGCGAGTTTTTTCAACAAAACTTTGCAGTTCTTCCCATACTTCACACATTTTCTTAATGAGGAAGGGACATCATCTACTGCCTCTACTCACAAATATTTTCTTAGGTTGAACCTTACCACTGACTTCCTTGGGACCCATTGTGTGATGTGTAGTAGTAATCTGTTGAAAAAAAACAAGCTCAATGAAATTCTTTACTAAGAATTAAAGTGCAATAGTCATTAAGCGGGCGGCTCTGGTAAACTGAAGCGTAATCCCCGTGCCACCAGGAACCACGTGCTTGGTCGACCCATGTGTATCAACAAAGTCGTAAGTAGAGGCAAAAGTCGTAAGTACAGTAGTCTAATTTCCCGATGAAATTGGGGCAACTTGAAAAATTCATAAGTAGGGGCATTCGTAAAAGTCGAGGTTCCACTGTACAGTACTTCAAATTAGAACTCTAGAGCTATCAGAAAAGTATCTTAAACAATTTGGTTGCATCTCTAAAGTACATTTGTATTTGGCATTAGTACAACATTGTAGAATTTTGAAGTTGAGTACAAAATGTAATCCATGACTGTTTAACCTGTAAGGAATTGTTAGTGTTGCATGGTGTTTGTGCCTTGCTGCTTATGCTTGACTGCTGACTTGGTTTGTGTACTTTCACTAATGCTTGGGTAATATTCTGATGTGTGCAAGAATTATGAAACTGTTGGTAATACTGTAAATGTCAACAAAGGGAAGAAGTTAAATATTTATCAGTGTTACATCACTAGATGCATCACTAGGTCAGTGGTGGTATTACTAGATTGTTTAAAGTGTAGGTTAGACAAGTATGAGTTTGGGTGGATATAAATGAGCTAACTGATGGTGGAGGATAATTGGCATTATGCAGTTTCCTATATTCTTGTGTTTTTGTGTTTTCAGTTTGGAATAGAGAAGGTTTGGTGCCTGGTAAAGGATCTGCTTTCAGAGATGTGTCCAGCTGAGCAACGTCACACCACACTGCAGATGCTCACCACTCTAGTGTCAACTCATGAAAACTTGGGGGTGATGCGTCAGGTGTTCTTCGAATACATATCAAAGAATTATCAACATGAGGAAATTGAACACATGTATGGTATACCTTTTTTGTGTTGGACACAACTTCTTGGCATGAATTAGTCAGGGTATTGCAAACTAGTAACAAATTGGAGGTGTACTCACTGTATCAGAATGTGGAAATGTGATTACATTTTAAATGCTCTAGGACCTTCTCATTCTGCTCGGAGATTCAATTGTACAGTATAGTACTATAAAGTTAATTGATAATTTTAATTGTGGAGCCATATCAGTTTACTATTTTTTTATTAATAAAATTTTCATTACTGCTTGGATAAATTTTAAATTTCTTTGGTTTATTGCAGTGTTTAACCATTTAATTTATTTAAACTTTCATCCATCATATAGTGCTTTTATCCATATAGTGCTTCTAAATATTGTGAAACTTTTTATTTTCTCTAGTGATGGAAATTTAATTTTGAATGGATGTCCTATGACATACACAAGTGACCCTTTCCTTGTCTTTTTCATGCTTTTCTTTCTGCCCTCTTTTTCTTTGATGTAGGTTTGATAAGGAGAGCTCAAATATTTTCACTTTTTCTGCTCTTCCTTGGTCTCTCTCTCCATCCTTATTCACCACAGCTTACCAGATGCTGCCCACTACTCTTCCTTGCTGTGCCTTCTGTGGCACACCAAAATGTGTTCCTTGGTGGAATACTGGATCTGCTCATGCTGTGTACACACACACACACACACACACACACACACACACACACACACACACACACACACACACACACACACACACACACACACACACACACACACACACACACACACACACACACACGCACGCGCACACGCTCGCTTGCAAACACTTGTATTGTTTTGGAATTGGTTTTCTATAAAACCATTGGTACAGCTATAAGAGTTGGCTGCTTATTTCAGCATTACTGTTGACTCCCTTCTGCCCATATTTGCAAGATCCCTAAGATTACAGGGTAAATTTATCCTTCACCTATCCTTCATTGCCATGGTTATTGCAGATCCAGTGTTGATTGTGAATAAACTGGGATTGCATTTCTCGGCAGCTAGTTAACATGTAACACTAGCGTGACTGAAGATATGATGACTGAACCACAAATCGGAAAATGAAAAGACGATGTTTTGGTCCATCCTGGACTATTATAAAGTAGTTAACCACATGACATGATAGTTCCAGAATGGACCGAAACTGTAGTTTCTTCATTTTCTGATGTGTGGTTTGGTTATATCTTCAGTCACAATAATGCAACTCGTTTACATGATACGGTTACATGTCAGAGCAAGCTTGGTTAGGTGGCCTTAAGTGTAAATGGTTTTTCTTGGTAATTTCATCTGACTAAATTAACCGGTGTACTGTGGTGTTATTAAATATGACAAGCCTCCAAAAACTATAGTACAGTATTCCCAAAAAAGTTTTTCTTGTACATGTATTGTTAAAATACATTACCCGATCATGGGGAAACTTAAAAATAAATAGTATGTGACATACTTTGGCCATGATGGAACAAGTCCCAATATTCAGGCACTGAGACACCATTTGCCAGCTGGGTTCTCACTCAATCCTGGTGTGTGGCATGGGTTGCCACAAATATATTTTTATATAATTCAATGTGAATGGATTTTTTTTAGCATTTTGCAGTAATAATTGTGGAGATATGTGGATAAACTAAATATTTAAATGCTAGTGGACTGTATGACATGGGATAAATATAAATCTTTGGCACAATTCCCACAGTAAGGAGTTTTAATAGTTAGAATTAAAATAGAACATTAATTTTAATTTAATTTATATTAAAGGTTAATATAAATTGAATTATGTGAATTATATAAATTCCCTGCACTATCTGAATGGGATTAGTAAATGAATTTTCTTAGCTGTCTAGGTGACTTCTTAAACAGCCTAAACCTTGAATGGTCATCCATAGAAGAGCTGTCTTCTAGGTAGCTGGCCACCTCAAGTCTGGCACAGTAATACAGATTTAAATTCTCCTGCTGGTGAATCAATCATTAATATCAAAACTTAAAAATTTGATTATTCATTAATATTCAACATGCACTATGAGCCTGGGTTCTTTCTTGGGCTTGTGGATTGTTGCTGTCCTTTTTGACCTGAAAAAAGGCTTCAGACACCACCTGGAGATACATATTCTGTCCCAACTTCGTTCTTTTGGCCTTTGTGGTAATCTCCCTCTTCCTCCAAAGCTTCCTCTCATCGTTCCTTTAGCGAGGCTTGGTGCCACTCTCTCTGCCTCTTTTCCGCAACATGAAGGTGTACCCCAAGGTAGTTTTCCGAGCACTACTTTTTCTCTGGTTGCCCTCAATGGTCTTTTTTCCTCCCTTCCTTCTGGCGTCTTCTCTCTGTTGACGATCTTACCTTTTGCTGTCGAGGTGGTGATTTGCCTCCTTCAACGGCGGCTTCAACTTGCGATTGATGCCGTGTCGTCTTGGCTCGCCAATCATGGCTTAAAGTTCTCTGCGACTAAAACTTTTACTCGGAAGCAAGTCGTTCTTCGTTCCTCTTTGTCGCTTTATGATCATCCCCTTGTGTACAAAGATTTTGCTAAGCTTTTGGGGTTACTCTTTGACACTAGTTTGTCTTGGTCACCCCATATTTCTTACCTCCGGGTTGAATGCTCAAAGGCCCTTAACCTACTTAAGGTTTTGTCCAATACTACTCGGGGTGTGGATAGGCGCACGCTCCTCTTTCTATTCCTTTCTCGTACTGCCTAAACTCTATTATGGTTGCCCTGCTTACTCGTCTGCTTCTCCTACTCTTTGCCATCTCAATGCTTTGCACCATACTGGGTTGCACCTCAGCTCTGGTGCCTCTCATTTGACTCCTACCCTTAGCTTGTATGTTGACACTGGCTTTGTCTTTCCAGGACCGCCGTGATTGCTACTGTCTTCGCTACCTTGCGTGGTCCTTAAAACACTCCCTCACTTTCGCCTATGTCGTGCTTTGACTTTTACCCCTCCTATAGTTCCTGTTCCCCCTTCACCACCTCCCTGTTTGTCTGATTCTCACCTGCAAAATTCTCTTTCGGTTAGTATTACCAATATTTCTCCTCGTGTTCTGTCCTTGCCCCTGTGAAGGGTGCCCCTTCCTAAATTTTGTAAATCCCTGACCCATATCACTAAAGATTTTACCCCTCCTACTGGTCTGAAATGCCTTTTCCTTGAACACTTTTCACACTTCTGCTCCATTTCCATCTTCACTGATGGATCAAAGTCTGCAAATGGTGTAGGAAACTGTTTTTCCTGACCACACCTGTGTCTCACCTGCCTCAGGAGACTAGCATGTTCACGGCAGAACTTTATGCTATTCTCTCTGCTCTTCGTCTACTGCTTTCTTGTCAATCCTCCTTTGTGGTTGTAATTGACTCTCACAGTGCCTTCATGGCTCTGGAATCCTTTAATCCAGTCCATCCGGTGGTAGTAGATTCAACATTGGCTGTTTATCTCCAGTATATTTAAAATGGTAGTTTTGCTGGGTTCCCAAGCATATTGGTCTCTCTAAATGAGCGTACGGATGTTGCCGCTAAGGAAGTTATCCGCACTTGTCCCATCTCCCGTAAAGGTATTCCTCATTCCGACTTTTACCCAGTTATTTCCTCCATCTTTGCCCGTTGGCAGGGTTGTTGGTCTTGTTACTGGTAACAAACTGCGTACTCTTAAGAGTAGTGTCCCTGTGGCCTTTCTCCTACCACCGTAACCGGCGGTGGGAAACAGCTATAGCAAGGTTGAGTTATTGGCCATGCACCCTAAACTCAAGAACACTTAATGGAGTGCCGCCCTGCTTCTTATTGTCCAAACTGCATTGTCCCTCTTAGTCGTGCATAGCCTTGTTCAATGTCTCAACTTCCAGGATGAGCGTGTCTTGCTTTCCGACCGTCCCTCAGTCACTTGTCCCTCGATAGAATTCTTGGTGAATCGGATACTTTTGATGTCGTTTGCCTTGTGTTTCTCATATTGGCATCCTTGGTGATATTTAGCGCCCTATGATTATTCTTCACATTTGATGGTGCTACATGGCCTTCCTAGCTTGGTGCCTTCTTTTGATAATTGCTTAAATAGCTGAATCTCTTCCAGAATGGCAGAATCTCTTCCAGAATACCTTACAAAGTGAACTTTTTCAAGACTACATTAGAAATTTATCTTTTTCCTATAATCTTTTAAAGACCACCTTGCATTTCACAAACTTGTTTACATACTACCTACAGGTATTAAAACCAAGGGTGTACGCGAGTGCATTATTTGCAAGCACACAGAATGAAGAAACGGGAAGGAAAAATTTTTGTACCTGGTGCGTAGAGCGAAGTTGCACTGTACCATGAACTGCTTCATTGATTATCACTCTTCTGAAGTACTGTGTGTAATAGTGTACGACTGAATAGTGTGTAAAACTGTAAATGTTCAAAATTCACTAAAATTTCAATAAATAATATTGGGACATTTATTGCGTGCACATTACTCTCACGTGTATTAGTTCCATGGAACATTATGAATGTTCTACCACATAAATATTGTAAAGGACACAAATATGTATTTGACCAAAGAAAAAAATAATGCATTGGAAATACATAGAACGAATAACTGAAAATATATTTGTGGTAACTTACGGTGCTTGAATGGCCCACGCGACCCTCTGGGAGTCCTAAGGAGCAGGATGAATCCTGTGTACCCATGGGAATTAAATAATGTGCTGCTATGTTCATTTATAGCTGTAAAAGGATTTTATATTATACTAATATTCATTTTTTAATTTTGTTTTTTTTTCAGGTTTAGATTCTTCTGTGCCGTCATAGGCAAAGGAAAGAAAATTGAACACATAGAAGAATCAGTTGGCATGTTTCTCTTAGAATGGCTTCCAGCTGTTTTAGAAATGCCCCAGGCTGTGGATGGTCTAAATCTTGTGAATACTCTAGTAAAGTTCAATTCTGCCTTCCTGGATGAACCAGTGGTTGTGGGTTTTGTCATGTAAGTTCTGTAATTGTTGATTTCATTTTGCTTTTGTATTTGGATGATTGCTTAAAGATGTTATGCAAAATTTTAAAACATAATTACATAAAAAAAATGTACAGCCAGTGGGCACACTATCCAAGAGCAAAGCTGAATCAACATTGAACCAAGGCCAAGCTTGGATATTGTACCCGCTGGGCAGTGGCTCCTTGCTCAAATAAACCTCTTCACAGAATTCTAGGATCCGAACAGCGTGGTTTTTTGTAAGTTGTTCAATGGGACCAATAGTGAGGATTATTTCCAAAGCTGCTGCCATGCCAAGCCATGGTATTGCAGCAGTGTTAGCAGCCAACCTGATCTACTTGTAAACTATTGTACAGTGAATGAAATCTTTTAAGCAGACTTAAATGACATAATTTAGAAATTCAGATATTACAAATTCCTGAACCACATGACTTGTCCATGCACAAATGAGCTTGCTCAGTGTTGCTAAAATAATACATTGTGTTGGGACAGGCAGCCAATGTAAGTGTTAGGCTTATCTCGGTAATCCAATGGTGGAATTACTGACCATTCCTAGGATGCAACCCCACAAGAAGCTAACTCTTGGGTACCTTTTACGTCTAGGTGAACAGGTGCATTACGTGATAGGAAATGCACCCAACTATTTCTGTCCAACCCAGGGTTTCAGCACAGGATTCTTGATTGTGAGTCGAGAACTAACCCGATTGTACTGTCGGCAATGGTAAAGTAAATAAAGCAAATAAACCCCCCCCCCTTTCCCACTTCAAGTAGTAAGGTAATTTCACCACCCCACTGCTAGGTGGCAGCACCAGGAGCTGAAGGGTCAGGCAGTGAACCACTTCATTCTTGAGGAAAATAAAGCAAATTGAAGGGAAGGAAGGGTCTAGAGAGAGCTACCTTGGACCAACCATGAAGAGGCATTATGGTACATAACACTTTGAAAATCTAGTTTACTGTGCATTACCGATCATAAACTTTCAGAGCATCAACCAGGTTGTTGTTCACAGGCCACTCGGTGACGCTTGAAATGTTTACAATCATTTTACATTTTTGCAGTCATTTAAGAACTTTATGGTTATACCCTGTCAATGTTCACAAATGAATTCTCTACAGAAACTTCAGTAACCAAAAAATGTATTTATAATAGCTTATGCATGAGTGATGACTAAGTGTGTTTATGAATAGTAATATACATTTTAGCATCATTGGACTGTGACAGTATTAAACATAGTATCTGGAGAGGGTCCAAGATGGCTGTTGCTATCACACCACAGAACAAAAGCATGTGTCAGGAGATGAGGAAAGTAGCAGTGTATAATTACCTAGAAAGGGAGATTAGGTTTAAGCGACCTAAAGCCACACAGACCACTTAGTCCTAAACTTCGCATGCAATTTAATCTAGTCAGAGATCTGACCAGGGAGGATTGCCTAGTCCCCAGTCCTTAACTGTTCCTCCGTTCACATAGCAGCAACTGGGGTACCGGATTGTGAAGATTGAATGGTTGGGTTCCAAGGAAAACTAGTAGGTAAGGAAAACTATGGCTATGGTAAGGGGATGCTCTCAGCCTGCTAACATGAGTTGGAAGTAGTCTGTTCCTTTACCCACGTATGTACGAATACGTTTACATATGTACACATACAATTTTTTGTTTAAATTGTATCTGTAAACTGAACTCTTAAGATAATTATTTGTTTGGTACACTGCAGTGTTATTTATGGTAATGTTCATTATTCATTCCATACGCCCTAAATACAGTAGTGTTATTGGCCTTGTTTATACATAATGTTGGTAATTTTGGTAGGCGTGTTGTGAGTCGGCTGCTTCAAGCCAGGGATGAAGAGGAGGCAGTGTTGTGTCTGCAGGTTCTGGAGTCTATTATTGCCTACAGCAGCCTTCCTTCTTCTGCTCTTTCTCATATCATTTATGCTCTCACTAGGCTTGTCAATGTGCCTCAAATCACTAAATTAACATATAAGGTGAGTATACTTATTTTAGTGCTAATAAATATTCCTACAGTTTTCACAAATGTATCTTGAAGAGGTTTAATTCTGAGAATGCAGTTAATAATATTGAATGTTGCAAAGTCTACTGAATCTTTCAGATCTTGATCCAACTGTTTGGGACACACCATGGCAGAAATGGTTTGTATGTTTTGTGCCAGATGATCCATAAAATGAGTGATCCTCATATTGTGCGAGGTGCAATTTTCTTCTTGGCATCAGTTTTATGGGGAAGTAATAGAATTCCTTCACTGGACTGCAGTCCAGCTGTAGTGCTTCCAACGTTTTACCAGGTTAGTTGAACTGTTTTTGTATTTTAATTTTTTCAGCGAGTATTCAGTCCTGAACAGCTGAACTAGATGGGTGATCTTGGGTCACTAACTCTTATGGTTTTTATCAGAAAAGCATTGTTATTTTTGCTTTGCACTAGGCTGTGGGGTGATGTTAGTGTTTTAAATATCCATAATACAATTTATGTTGGTGATATGGCAGATCTCTCCTAAAGTGAGAATGAAGGTAATTTTAATATGCTCCATTGAAAAATAGTGTAAATACTACACAGTGTGTGTAAAAGCTACGAAGATATGGCATACATTTCAAATATTAACACTTTGGCAGTCAGACCTCTTCGTGCAATACCCACCATAAATGTCAAGGGCTCCTCAAGCCACTTGCTTAATAGCTCAGCAATGTAGAAAGTGGTTTTTAATCACCAAGTTTTCAAAGTTATTCAATTTTTGTTTAATGGTTATTTTGTTTAATGGTTAATTCAGCCATTGGCTTAATACATAGATTTTTTCCTGGACATTTGATGAGCTTAGTGGCAAAAAAAAAAAAAAACTTTCAATTATGAAAGGATTCAGTTTATAATCAGTCAAGACTACCTTGACTTAGGAAATAAGTACTGTATGTAGAGAAGTTTAATGACACCAATGAATACATACAAAAATGAGTAATATAATATTAAAAATGTTAATTTTTCCAGATGTACTTGGCAGAAAAGTGATAAATGCTTTGTTTTGTTTACATCACTGTTGGCAGTGATGTGCAGAACCTGAAAGAGGAAGTTATCAGTGAATATATAGCTTTGGTTGGGGTGTAATGGCTGAAGTCTTTTTTTTTTTTTAATTACTCCTTGCACCATAAGTTCTTGCATAAAAGCCTAGCCTAAATTATTACCGGTAATAAATATAAACATTAAGGAATGCCATATCAAGCAGGGTATACTCTTTAGTTTAATAACTATATATATTGAAGAATGTATAGATATAACTACATTTTCAATAACTACACCTTGAAAAATGTAAAACTATACGTTGCTTATAGTAATATTAGTCACACAAGTTTTATTTAGTGCCAGTCTAATGCCATTATATTGTTTGTAATAATATTTTACAAAATTGTGATCTGTTTTGGCAGGTTAGTCAAAACAGCCATATATTAGTGGTTTTTGAGGTCGTATTGAGTATCCAGAAGTTATTGGCTGTGAAGGCAGACGACATGCATTTGTCTTCCTGGAGCCAACTGTTGGGAACCCTGGCCAATGTATTTAGGCATACAGGTAAGACTGCTCCAGAATATCCATAATTTATATTGTATGATCATGCTGGTAGTTTTAGACAATTCAGTTATTCTCTGAAAGGAATAGTTTCATTTGTTCCTTTCCTAGGTGTAATTATTTATGAAAATTTGTCATTGAAGTTTAAATGAATCTATCCAAGTAAAGGGAATACAGGTATCGAGTCATATTGAACAACTTGGAGCACAATGTAAAAGTGTAATTTTACACCGTATTGTATTGAACTTAATTGAAAACATTACATTTTTCACCCTCTTGAATATTACATTTAGCATAATGGGTATTTAGCAAGTTATTTGTATTTTTTTTTATAATTGGTTTTGGCACTTGCCATTGGTTAATAGCATTACCTAATAGCCAAATTTTAGTTTGTATAGCTTTATAAAAAAAAATTGCATTTTATTTTACAGTTTGTCTGGAAGATGGGGAAGAGAGAGATACTATTATGAATATTCTCTCAAACATTATGGACTACATTGAAGAACTTGTGGATACCGAGAGATATTATGGTTTAATTGAAGAGTTTCATGTATTGGTTACTACGTATGCTCAATATCGACCTGTAAGTTGGGAAATAACAATCGGGCAGTGGCTAATGCAATGTATTAATTTCTTGGTACATATACTGTGGTCCTGTTTTTAAATACTGTATTTTACTTGCAGGTAGACTCGGTCCTCAAAGTGCTGAATTATCAGGCAAAGAACATTCTTCCTGTTGATCCAAACTGGCAGACAAAATTGGGGACACTATTTAGTGTTCATTACCACCAGGGCCAGAGACTCGGAATAAGGATGAAGGCATTGGATATATTGTCGAAGGTTTTCATTCACTACAGGTTATAAATTTTTTTAGACTGTGAGCTTTTCACTGTGATTAAAGCTGCCATAATTTATACCTCATAATTATCTTCATTTATTCACAGTAAAATAATTTGATGTAGGGGTTTGCATAAATGTTGATATATCCTTCATGTGTTAATCTGCACCTCTGGTTAACTAGGTTTAAATGAAACTTAAGAAAATTACACCATTTCTTTGTAGTAGGTATGTGCAGTACTGTACATCTTTATATGGAGAGGGTTTCAGGGGTTTTTCTCCATAAGCCCAGCTTGGGGCCAGGACTTGTGAAAGTTAGATGTGCTTCTGACATTTTGTTTGCACTACCTACTTGAACATTACAGTCTTTATCCATGTAATGTAATGAAATCCACTTTTTATTCTTTTTTCATTAGAGATAATGATTATTAAATGCAGCCAGATTTCATTTTAAATCATTTTTATTTAGGCATGTAGTTTAAAGTGTAAAAATGTTTCAATGATTACATAAATACATTTTGTATTGAATTTAAGCAGGTGTCGAAGATGTGACGTGGTAGCTGAGGTGTCTTTAGGCCATTGCTCCTCGTGCCTCTCTTGAGGGGACCATGTTCTGGCTCTGGTCCTCGGTAGGCTTAAAACTCCTTAGATTGATTGTTGCCAGTCTAATACATACGCACCAGCCCGGTATAGCTCCAGGGAGCCTCCGGGTCTCGCCCAGAAAATGGCGTTTAATTATATAAAACGCTGGTTTTTTAAAAGGTGCTTTATAGTGAAAGTGTGTGTGTGAAACTCGCCAAGGCAGAAGCTCGCCTGCATCATGCACAGTAGGCACATTCACTACGGGTGAAGCGTCCTCTTTAAATAGATATAAGTAACTGTGTGGGGTGTGGTGGCGATACTGAGGGGGAAGCAAAACAGTTGACTTGCATCCTTGTCGATTGGAAACACTTTTACAATGTTTGAAGATCACGATCGCTGTAATCTTTACATATTGGTGCAGCATGGTATGTGATACTTTTTTCCAGAATAGTGTAGGATTGGTAGTTTTTTTTATGAATGTCCTTACTAACCCTAGCAATGTTTTGATCCTAGCCTCCAATGTGCTGAATGCTATAACCTCTGTGGATTTTATATGTATGTTCTATAGCGATTCTGAATTGTTACATAATCGTCATATTAGATCCATTCTGCTATTATTATTGTCACCCTTTTTAATGTCAGTTAAGTGTTACCTACTCCTTTTTAGTTCTTTTGGAACTTTGGTTGGCTAGTTTGGGAAGTATTGTTATACTGATTGTTCTTGTTGACCAAGTCCTGATTTCTGCCAGACAATTTTAGTTCCTAATTTAGAAGTCATTCAATTGTGAATGCTGTGCCTCTGTGAGGTGGGGCTAAGTTTATTAGGCCAAACAGGACTCCTACATCAATGTGTACATTTGCATGGAGTACAGTACTCTCAGCAAGGTGTTGGGAAGCCACTGGAAGTCTTCCCCCAAAAATGCTGGGTGTTAATTTACCCAAGGATCGCCATCTATTTAGTGGCCATGATGGGGACTGGAAACCGGCGGCTTGTCGAAGGTCTCACACCTTCTACCCCATTTTTTCCGAATTATTTTTCCCAGCTTGACTTTGAACTGCAGAAATGTCATATTATTTATGGTTTTGGTGGTTAGGCGGCTCCATGGTTTTTTAATCCTATGGGTTTATAACTATGGGTGAAAAGCATCTTCTGTTTTGTCCTACATTGACTAGTTTGTTTGAAGTCATTGTTCCTTCTAAAAGTTACATCTGACCTTTTAACCCCTGCACTGCACACCTTTTTTGGTAAAAATTTCATGGTGCAGGTGTCAAGGACACTTTTTTTTTTTAAATAAATGTTGACATCAAAATATTTCCAAACTAGACCATTTTTGTTTCAAATCAGTGATGAAAACATTAAAGAACATTAAAATATGGCCTAATTTAAAAAAAAAAACTTGGAGCACCTTAAAGCGCTCTGCACAATTGAGTAGTTTGGTGGTTTGGATCAATATCCTCTAAATTGTCCTTACTTTCATATACTTGAAGCAAGTTGCAAATCTTAGCAAGGAAGAGGAGGCAATAAGTGTTGCTAGCCAAGGAGATATCAAATTGTAGGTCAGGTGCTATAAAATGAAATGGAATTGTTGTGCTAGCATTCCTACAGTACTTGCCTTCATCTACATTGGATTGAGGTACCAGAGACCAGGAATCTGGTGAGTGTTGATGGTGCATCTTGCAGAGGTTGTGTAACCCTCCACAAACATTGCTATAGTCAATCAGCAGGTGTCTGAGGGCTCTGAACTAGAGAGAGAACCTGTGGGTGAAAGAAAATGGTGGGTAATGCTGCCAGAGGTGGAGTTTGGACTCGTTGCTGTGGGTAAAAGTGTGTGGGAGCAGCAGCTAGGATAGGCAGGGCTATAGATGTGTAGAAATATGCAACCTTAACTATTAATATGGACAACCACTTTTAACATTCTGATGGTAGTTTGTGATTGGTTGCTTAGTCCTCTGATAAAACTGTTGGCTGGGAGATGCTCTTCAAAAGGTAGTGGCTGCCCTATATGAAGTAGTAGTTAAGGCTACTCATCACCCAATTTCTCCATGGCTCATCACATGCCATCACTTTGCAGGGTGAGCTGCTGACACTGCAAACCTCCACTTAGTAATATGGAAACAGTTGCTACTACTAGCATCTGAACCAATGTGACTAGATCAAGAGAGTTTTCCACATATTCATGGCATAAAAGAACAGCAGGTGACACAGCTGGTGATATGGAACTCTGGGAGTGGTGTTGACCTGGGACATGGCAGAGGTTGTGTAATCCTTGCAATAGACATGCTCACTCATTTTCTATCACTAATATCCAATTTTTGTTGGGTCATTATTGGGTCTTGGATAGTCAACATCACTATCAGTCCTGTTCACACAATATCTCAAGTATTTAATCGTCTGCAAGAAATTTTTCTACCACCATACCCCGTGTAAGATGTGTGAAAACGCGAGTTGCCAGATTCAAGCCGAATGAAAGGCAACAAAAGGGGTAACCCAGACTCCCCATAACAAAACAGCCAGTCCCTAAATCTCAGATTAACCAGGATGTGCCAATACTTGTCCTTGAGGTCCAGGGACACCATCAAAGCCTTTGGCTCCAACAGAAGACGAACATGGGGATAGAGTAGTCATTTGAAAAGAGGGGCAATAAACAAAGTTCAGACAGGGACAAGTCCAGTATGAACCAGAGGGCTGTGTAGTGTCATTTTGGAACTGGAATAGGCGGGGAAACTAACCTGAGGGATGAGATCATTTCGACCATGCCCAGGCAAACCCACTCAAAGATGACCCGACAGAACGCAAGAGAATAGGCCTGCCTTGCTAGCCCTGAAACCCCTGAAGGCGCCACCGTCACCCAACGCCACTGCAGGCTGCAGGAAACGATTCAAAAGGCCCACAAATCATGGGACCAGGCTTGAGCAAACAGAGCGAGCCTCCCCCTGATTGCCCCATTAATGGGATGAACAGCGAAATGGGTGGATTGCTGGCCCAAGAACTGAAGAGTAGATTGCTGGCCCAAGGGTCTGGGGCTTCCCCTTCCCCCTCTCAGGAAAGGGTGGAGGGTTGTGCAGATAGCGGCGTGGCAATGTGATGACGACATGCTAATTTGCTAATTTTCATTCGGGGAGTTCTGTCCACTTGGTCGTATTTTGGTACAGTAACAATATTTTCCCTAGAATAGGGGTTTGTTTTGAGGTGCCTACCTATCTGGGTGCCAGACCCAGTTGATGGCAGACATGGAATGCTCCCTACCACACGGGGGTTTCTATAAGCCATTTCTCCTTGGGCCTCTGAGGGAACCCAGGTTCTGGCTCGTGGTCCCCAGTAGGCAAGAACTCTATGCACATTGACTGATAAATGTAAATATGCATGTAGGAAAATATGTAGCTGTAAGTAACTGATTCAAACCTTTCCCCAGGGATCAGCATGGCATAGAGCTGGTGAGAGATGTTGTTCTGGTTCATTTAGATGGAGTTGAAAGAGAGGCACAGGTGAAAATAAGAAAAGCTGCTGTCAAACTGCTTTGCAAGATTGTTATGAAGCTTCATTCAGATATTACCTTGAGTGTACTTTACATGTTGGAAAAAGTAAGTATATATATTTTTATTGCTCTTAAATGTGTATTCTTTAACTAAAGTTGTGTGCACAGAATTCATACTGTTAGTGGGCACTTTCCATATGTGTAACCCTTAAACCCACTCAATACATCTATAGCTGGGGTGAGTAACTATTGCAAGATGGTGCACCACAGCTACGCATGGTTGGGAGTACCACGTAAGATTTGTTCTGTGGCTACACGGGGTTCACATCAGCTTCCTCGGGGCTCTTGTAAACAGACGCCATTTAAAAATCATGGGCAACATTCCCGAGTGTGAGCGCCTCAGTACTGAGTTAGCAATCAAGGCTGGTGCACGCAGCATAAGCTAACAGCACTACAGTTCAGCTTGTGACCACATCATTGCCTGAAAATGTAAAAAAAAAATATATATATATATATACTGATATTTAGCCATAGTATTACAGAAGAGCCTGATTGTGATAGACTGTACAATGTTCAGATATCAGTGAACACAATGCTGTTAACCCTTGTTGCTCTGGGCTAATTAGCATTTGTCACCCAGACACATACCCAAAAAAAAAAAAAAAAAAAAAAAAAAATCTAAACCTGTTAATTTGTTCTGATCATGGGAAAAATAATAAAAATAAATCGTAAGTAGCATATATTGCCTGCTATAGGGCGGGGAAGTCTGGCAAAAAACAGGCGCCGACTCAGCATGCGTCCCAGATGGTCTGTTGCTCCTAGCTGTCAGGCAGGTGTGCCCACAAAGATAATTAATTATCTAATTATTTCAATGTGTGTGATTTTTCATAGTGTTTTTGCTGTAATATTATTCAATAGTGTAGTGATATATTTATATAACGAGTGAATCATCGCTGTATTAAAAAATATGGTGTGCATATTGTTGATTCAATTATGTTCATCAAATAGTGAACAGATACTTTGTCGGTTATTACACTATATACACAGGTTATATATAAGTATCTGCATGTTTTGTTCACCATAACGAACCACTAAGTTGGTATTATGAGTCAAAAAGCAATGAGTGACCGCCACACACCAGCCAGCCACTTGCTGCCGCTCACTCCCTCAACATCTCACTCGCCCACATTCTCCTCCCACCATACTGTTTTTGCTTTTATTCACTATATACAGACGTTATATATAAGTATCTACATTCGTGTTCACCATAGCAAACCACTAAGTTGGCATGCTGAGTGGCAGTAGTAGCCAGTGGTGGCTGCTTTCCCTCACACATTCAAGGTCAGACGCACTAAAATTTCACCCACAGCAATACTGTTTGTGGTGTTATTACCCTATATACAGACGTTATAGATAAGTATCTACACGTTTTGTTCACCATAACTGTCCAACTAAGCCGGTATAATGCCCAAAGAGCATAGTGGCCACCCCTACCAACATGACAAATCATGCAGATGTTGCCACACCCATCACCAAAATGACTTCTTCCCCACACTCCTTTTACTGTTATTACACTGTATATACACGTTATATATAAGTATCTACATTTGTGTTCACCATAACGAACCACTAAATATGCTGAGTGGCAGTGGCAGCCCGCCACTGGCTGCCACTCCCTCCCTCCCTCATCTCACCTCACTTGACTCTCTACCATTCTCCTCCCACCATACTGTTTTTCCTTTTATATACAGACGTTATATATAAGTATCTGCATGTTTTGTTTACCATAGTGAACTACTAAGCTGGTATAGTGAGTTCAGAGAGTAAAAAGTGGTCACAGTCAGCAGACAATGCTACCTCCCTCCCCATCATGATTACTCCTCCCACTACAGTGCTAATTATCACAACAATCCTGCTATTATCAGAATCCTGGTCATTTTTATCAGTCAGGGCCCCCCTCCCTGTTCAGCTCGTTGTCATGAGGGGGGCTTGGTGGGGGAGCTGCCGGAGTGTGATGCTCCTTGGGACAGTCCTCTGTCTTTCTGTAGCCTTGTGCTCCTGCTGCTGTCCTCTCTAATTGTGGTGAATGTCTTTTCCTTCTGTTTCGTTTTTCTCCTCCCCTCTTCTCCTATCTGCTTGTCGTTTCCTGCTGACCTTTTGCTTGTTTTGGTTATTCCTTTGGACTTCTTCTATTTTGATGCCCGGGTGCTTGAGGAGGCATACTCTTGCACCCATAGAACTGTAGTACCCAACGTCTCGAGCGAGGGGAAACTTTTATTGTCAATCCCCCTTTCATCACTGAACCCGATCTCAACGGGTTGTCTATGATGCCTATGACAGATGACTCGGAAATGGGAAGCTACCTCAGGGACAGCTTCAGGGAGCCACCAGGGCTCACCCAGGAAGGAAGAATTCAATTTCATTTTTTTTTCTCTTCTAAACCTTTACTTGCTCATAATTTATAATTCGTTGCTTCTAGGATTTGCTTTGCACATTTCCAAAATCATTCCTGCCAAGGATCCTCCATTCTCTTCTGTTGTCTGTTCTTGGGCAGGTTATCTTTGTGTCATTGCTACTGGAGGATGTGAATCATTAATGCCAAGGATGTTCCTCTTTATCTGCCTCCTACGCAGCAGCTAGGTGGGCATTACCCATTTTCTTTTATTAATGTGTGCACAATCCTCTTGACTTGTTTTAGGGAGCATCTTGGTGGTAGCTTAAAAAAATCCTTGTTTGTATTTCTCCCACAAGGTAGGCCAATTGGCAATTAGGTAGTGGCTGGCAGTCACAATGGTAAACAATGCTTGGAAAGGCTTCGTTTGAATGATCCTTAGGGAAGTCTCTTTTGGGCTAAACAGATTCGGTGTATTTCTAGCACTTAGTATGACCTGGCAAAGACATTTAAAATGATACCTGCTGTGTCATTACAGTGTCATTCTTGGTTATCTATAATCCTGTTTAATACAGGTAACTATCCAGTCTCTGTACCTAATGCCTACTAATTCAACTGATGTTACCGACATAATCCTTTCCCTTAAAACATCTAGTGCCCTTGAGGAGATACCAACTCTAATTTACAAAAAAGCCTCCAGATCTTTAGCTCCTGCCATTGCATTGCTCTTCAACAATTCCCTTGAACTCCAAACCTTTCCAGATATACTAAAAAAAGTGAGAGTAACCCCTGTCCACAAATGTGATTCCACTGTTGTCAACTTCAGACCTATATCAATTCTGCCAAACTTGTCAAAAATATTTGAAAAACTAATCTACAAGCAGCTTTACTCTTATCTAGCCAAACTCAATCTACTTGACTCTTGTCAATATGGCTTCAGACCCAAAAAAAGTACTAATGATGCACTTATTAGTATGATTAACTTGATACATGCAGCTCTTGATAAAAATGAGTTCCCTGTTGGGTTATTTGAGGACCTGCGTAAGGCTTTTGACACTGTTAACCACCAAAACCTTCTTCTTAAATTACAACATTATGGAGTCAGAAGTCACTCCCTGCAATACCTCAAGTCTTACCTTACTGACAGGCTCCAGTATGTTTCTGTGAATAATTAAATTTCTCCCACTCTACCCATCAACAATGGTGTTCCTCAGGGAAGCATACTTGGCCCTCTCCTCTTTCTCAGCTACATTAATGACCTTCCAAATGTCTCCCAACATCTCAAACCAATTCTATTTGCTGACAACACGATCTTCATTTACTGCAGTCCTGACCCCCTTGCTCTAAGTGTCGGTAAATACTGAGCTAAATAAAGTCCACCACTGGCTAACTGCCAACAAACTCACCCTCAATATTGACAAAACCTTCTATATTTTGTTTGGCAATAAATCCTCAAATCAAATAAATCTCAGGATAAACAATACCCAAATTTGTAACAAAGTAGAAGGCAAATTCTGTGGCGTTCTCATTGACCGCAAGCTAAATTTCCAGGGACGCATTCTAAATATATAAAAAAAGTTTAAAAAACTGTTGGCATTCTAAGATCAGATATTATATACCTCGCCCTGCCCTGGTGACTCAATTAGTCTCATCTCTCCTTATTTCAACTAAGGTATTTCAACTATTTGTGCTTGGGGTTCAACTACCCAAAATCATTTACATCCTCTAATTACTAAATACAAAGCTGCTATTAGGACAATATCTAACTCTGGCCCCAGACATCACCCAGTACCCTTACTCAAATCTCTGAATGTTAGATATTAAGTCATTGCATATCCTCCTGTGTATTTTATATATATAATGCTGAACTGTAATGTCAATCCTGACCTTAGAAGCTTCCTAGAAGGTTGTAACAGATCCCATGAGCACCACACCAGAAACAAATACCTATTTGATATTCCAAGAATACGACTTAAACTAGAAATGCTTTGCAAATCAAGGGACCCAGAACGTGGAATGACCTTCCCAATTATGTTAGACTGTACCTCTCCCAACCAGTTTAAGATAAAACCTAAGTACTACCTAATTAACTCCATGCCACCTACCTCGCCCCCAAAATGTCAACCCATGTCTTCTATTTTAAACAATGCCGTTTGTTGACCAAATTGTTTCTTTGCTTTTTTTTTTCTGCCATGTTTCCCCCCCCCCCCCCTTTTTTTTTTCTCTCAAACACAATTTATACTTTTATCTCAATTAGTATTAAGTTTGTCTTAGTGTTTTTCCTGCCCGAAATGCTTTGCGTAATAGTGGCTTTAGGCATTGTATATACTAGCTCTTATCAATAAATCCATCAACTTTTGTATCTCACCTTGTATGTATGTACTTTACCTGAATAAATATTTGATTTTTTATTTGATTTGAATAGGACTAGAAAGGATGTTTATCTTGACTAGCAACTTGTACATTGTGACACATGCATTAAAAGTAAAAGCCTCGTTTTATTTTTAGGTTATGATGGCACCATATAAAAGAGGGAACTCGGTAGTGCTGGAGAGCGAAGCTGCTGACATTGTCGAAGCCGTTGATAATTTGGTATTGGCATTAAAAATAAAGATGTGGGAATTGCCATCATCTCATGCTATTTATATTTTTAAGATATTGCTTTCATGTTTGGAGCACCACTACCAGAACAAAATTCTTCAAAACACCACGATAAGGTTCACAGTAAGTGTTTTCAGTTGATAAAAAAAAAACCTGTATGTATATATATAGTATATCCTTCCAAATGGCATCCATCATTCTAGGACCTCTCATTTTTATTTATCAGTGGATTACTTAACCACCACTCTTAACTAATGAAATCTTCATTTTTCTGATACTACCCAGCCAGCACCCTTTGATAGTCAATTTAATATAAAACTGTACTAATCTGTTTTTGTGCCATTGCTCAACTCATTACTCGGCATTTCCTGTAGATGTACAACTTGATATAATTTTTTTTTTTTTTTTATAAAGATCCTTGAAATGATACTGGAGATGAGAATAAATGAAAATTATCAGATTGGCTTTATAAAAAATGAACTACGTGATGTTGGTAGGAGCCCCTCATCAATTTCAAAATATTCTCCATTCATTATTTTGGATCACATACACAGTAAGTATTTTCAGAGATTCGGAATTTGCAAAAAAAAAAAAAAAGGTATGTGGAACATTCGCCTTAATAAAGTAAAAACTATACACACTTTTCTCTAATAATGGGAAGGCACTATTCTGGTACTGCTGTAATCAGTAAGGCAGCTGGATTTGAATGTATGTGTATGTAATTAACTGTGTAGTTACAGGATGAGAGCTATGCTCATGGTCACATTTTCCCAGTACTGTATTGTCATTCAACACTTTGAAATGGTTTTTGGGCCTTCTACATTCTTAACTTGTTCCAACCATCTACCACTGTTTGCAAAAGATAACCTTATATTTTTTGGCACCTTTATTCTGGAGGTGGCTCCCTGAAGCTATCTCACTGAGATAGCCCTTTTCTCCTGTCTACTTGTTCACATTATTGGTAGTATTTCTATTTTGCCTACTAGAACCTGGGCCCCGTCAGAGGCAGAGCAAGCAACATTCCACCATCCCACCAGAAAAGTATCCAGAATGTCAGCGAAGCATTATGGACAACTGCAAAGTTGATCCAATTTCTTTGGTTCCCTATTGCAAAGCTCTCATTTCTTAGGTCATTTGCAGTATTAGAACTAGTTATCCTGTGGTTTACCTACATGCCTAAGATTACAAATAAACTGTTCTGGTAGCAGTTTTAAAAAATGTCCTGGCCTGAAGTTTAGATGCTGAGTTTTGGGAGTCTAAAAGAGTCGTCATGGCTAGTATATAGTCAATGTCTCTGGGTCCAGTCATTCCTGTTTTCCTGGCCTTTTGTCTATTTGCCTTGGTACCTTTTGTCTTTGACTTCCTGGTAAGTCACTTGCTTATACTATTTGCGGCTAGGTAGCTTCATGGAGCCACCAATGGGCTCCAGAAGATTGCATTGAATGTAATGAAACTCCTTTTTTGGATTGAGCCCTGGGGGCTATTGAACATCCATCCATCTATCCATCCTTCCTTCCTAAGTTTGCCAGTTGGTGGATGTAGATTTCCTCCAGAACCGAATTGGAGGGCTGTAACCCTGGACCACCTGGTGGCTGTTTGCTACCAACAGGTTTAAGATAGTTTAAGAAGATTAGATAAGTTTCATTTGAATTATTTGGAGAGTTGTTTTGAGGTTTTCGAGGCTTCAGTGCCTGTGAACCTTGCAGTGGTTCGTAACGTTTTGCTGACTCTTGGAACCTTTTCCAGTAGGGTGGCAGACGAAGCACAAAGCAATGTTTGATTATTTTGTGCTTCTGTGAGGGAGGGCCAGGTTCTGGCTTTGGTTCATGGTAAGCCAAACAGGCTGTTGTGGCTTGGTACACAGGAGCAATCTCAGAAAGAGCTTCAGGGAACTAGTGGGGCTCAATCCAGAGACAGGTCACTACATTTAACACTGTATTTTTTCTAAAAGATACATTAATTTGGCAAGTATATACAGTATAGTCATAATTTAGTAAACCTTCAATTTATATTTGGTTTTTGTCTAGCAACATACTATTAATAAGCATTTTTTTTTTTTTTTTTTTTTTTTTGTGTGTACTACAGTGCTTGACTTCATTAAACATTTCAGTATTCAGTTTTCTACATGCTTTCACAATAACTATAGTCTACATGCACATTTTATTATGCTCCCTATATCTAAGAATTTTTAATATATATTAATACTATAAATAGAATTTGTTTGTACTGCCAAATTTATATATAGTGCTGATCTGCTTGCTTATAACAATCACATAACAGGTACAGATTTGGAAGAGGAAACCCTGCAGGCAGCGGCAGCTATGTCCCTTGAAGAGAATGAGACAACCCCTTTGTCACTCGCCCAGGCAACATCACTTCTTGTTACTGCTCTCAAGAAAGAAAAGGGTAATTTTTTATCCAAATTTATCTTTACCCAAGTACATTGGAGCCGCGATATTCGAACAGCTCCCAAATCGACCTTTTTGACATTTGGACGCTGTTTGTGTTTGGTATTTAAGTTTACTCGGCATTCGCAAATGTGTATTTGCAAATGCTGAGCTTTCAAATAGTGTAGAGGGTTCAGTGCACAACCCTCTACACTTTTGGATACTTTTATATTTTTAATATTCTTAGGCAACATGGCGATTTACACTTAAGTTAATGATAGCCAAGCAAAAATTAAAAAGGGTTAAAACCATAATAGAGATGAAGACCTCATAGCTAAAAATGAATGGGGTGCTTGTTTGTCTGCTCTTGTTACCGAGTTTGGTATGCCTTAAAGTTCTCCAATAAATGAAATGTGTGCAAAATGTGGGGGGAGGGTGGAGTGGAGTGGAAAGTTTTTTTTGACAAAAGTATCATCCTGACAAAGCTGTAAAGCTGTTAGCATTGTCATTCAACAGGTTTGTCTTGCTTTAGAAACACTTTAAAGCACAGGTAAAATCAATCAATCCTTGGACAAGTTACTTGCAAGAAAAGCATCCAGTGAGTCTAAGAGAAACACAGAAAAGAAAGAGAACCCCAGAAGCACAACTACCAGAAGTTATAATGGTAGGGAACTTCCCCACCAAATAACATCTCTTCCTCTGCCTTCCACAATACCATCAACTCTTCTAAGTGCAGATAAAGTGCAAACCATTAGTGTTTATTTTATTTAGTTGTTGCATAAATATATAAAATTTTGTGGTCCGGAACGGTTTAATCCAACTTACATTATTCCTTGTGGGAAAAAATTGTTCAGTATTCAAACATTTTGGCATTCATCCCACCTTCAGGAACCAATTAAGTTCGAATACCAAGGTTCCACTGTACATGGATGCAAATGAATTTGGCTGCAAGTTTCCATTTGGTATATTTAACCCTTAGTGGAGCAATCATAAAAATTGTCACCTTTGCCTGTGAAAATAATTATTTTACTTACAAAATAAGTTTATAAATAAAAAAATTTGTAAGTAGGGTGGAGTTTGTATTAAAAAGTATGAAAAACTGTATCATTATTTGTAGCTGGAAAGTAATACATTCATCAGCATTGTTGTGGAGGTAGCAAAGGCCAAACAAAAATATCCTTACTTAACTGCTGTCCTCTCAGGACTGAGTCCACGACAGTTGCCCAACTCCTGAGTACCTATTTGCTACTAGGTGAACAGAAGCATTTGGTGAAAGGAAACTTGCCCAAACACCTGCCCTCCTGAGTAATTATATCTAGGACATTTTTGTTGTGATCAAACTACTTTTAGCACTGTTACCTTGGTTAAATACATTAGAAAATGTTGAATTTAGTTATTAAAAACATTTTCTGTGGAGAGCCCCTTCAGCTCCCCAGAACTATACTGTGTATATATTAGACCGTGGCAACAGTCAGTCAATTGAGTTCTAGGCTTATCTGGGACCAGATCCAGAACCTGGCCCCCTCAAGAGAAGCATGAGGAACAATGACTTATAGACACCCCCGTGTAATTGGAAGCAGTCTTTGTCTGCCATCTACCAGGTCAGGCACCCAGAAAGGTTGGAATTCCAAAACAAACTACAGCTGATAAATTGCAAACCGAAAGCTGAACTAGCAAACAGAACAAACAGAACTAGGATGAGAGCTATGCTTGTTGGTCCTGTCTTTCCAGTATTATGATGCTTTAAATCTATTGAAGGTTTTGTTATCCACCACCACTTCACTATATTCAACAGACTACCACAGTTTGAAAGAGAACTTCAGTTTAATTTTATGGTATTTTTGTTTCCTTTGCTTGAATCTATGACCTCTTGCTCTTGTAGTTGCAGGTTTCAGGAATTCTTTTGTATTACTTTCATTATTAAGTATTGGTCATATTGCCTCTTCTAGTTTGGTATATTGAGCACCTCTAGTCTTTCCTCATGAGCTTTTTCAGTTCTGGAAGCCATTTAATAGGATGTCTTTTGCACCTGTTCCAGTTTGTTGATGTGCTTCTTGATATTTGGGCACCAAACAGCTGCTCCATAATTTCTTAAATATTTCACTATCAGTGTATTAAAAAGTGATTTTGAAGTTGGAAAGCACAGCATTGGTTCCTTACACAATGTTCTTAGTGTATTACTGGATATTAACATTATTTGCTGAGAATGGTTCCCATCTTTATAAAAGAGACTGCCTTCAAAATGCTTTTTCTTTCTTCAGCATTTTTTTTTTTTTGGGCGATTTTTTTTTTTTTTCTAACAATGTTCCTTTTGCCTTTGAGCACGAGCACAGAGGCCTGGTAGTTTTGTGGAGATCTGTGGAACTTGGAGCACAATAAAAAGCTAATGAAGGGGCCTAAAAGGGTTTCATTATACAGTATTTAAAATTGCAAGGGTATGCAATCATACTTTCTGTTAATGGATTTTATTATACACCAATATTTATTTTCCAGATTGGGCGATACTCTCTCTAATACTTAAGAAATTGAGTAAAGCTTTGCAGAACAAAGTTCTCGTGATTGGTCGAGACAGAAATGAAATAGTGCGTCTTATATCTGCACTCATTTCCATGGTTAGTAATCCTGTTCTGGTTTCTTAATATTGTACTATTATAAATGTGACATTGTACATAATCACTGTTAAATGTTAAAAATAATCAGAATGATGATTTACTCCTTTGAACTGAATGTGTAGAGCACGAGGTTGTGGTGGTAAATCGGCAGATTTACTGAGGATTTGGTTGATGATCCAAGTTGACTGCATGGGCTTCAATTAGCTCCTGGGGTGTTGTGCTTCATTTTTCATCAGCTGTGTTGCTCTTCACAACAACCTTTTCTGCTCATACCATAGCTGTTTTTGTTGTAACAAATCCTACTCATTACAGTCTACAAAAGTGGCAGCAGGGAAGACCCCCTCAATTATAGACCTGTATCATTGACAAGTGTAATAGTGAAAGTATTGGAAAAACTAATCAAAACTAAATGGGTAGAACACCTAGAGAGAAATGATATAATATCAGACACAGTATGGTTTTCGATCTGGAAGATCCTGTGTATCGAATTTACTCAGTTTCTATGATCGAGCCACAGAGATATTACAGGAAAGAGATGGTTGGGTTGACTGCATCTATCTGGACCTAAAAAAGGCTTTCGACAGAGTTCCACATAAGAGGTTGTTCTGGAAACTGGAAAATATTGGAGGGGTGACAGGTAAGCTTCTATCATGGATGAAAAATTTTCTGACTGATAGAAAAATGAGGGCAGTAATCAGAGGCAATGTATCAGAATGGAGAAATGTCACAAGTGGAGTACCACAGGGTTCAGTTCTTGCACCAGTGATGTTTATTGTGTACATAAATGATCTACCAGTTGGTATACAGAATTATATGAACATGTTTGCTGATGATGCTAAGATAATAGGAAGGATAAGAAATTTAGATGACTGTCATGCCCTTCAAAAAGACCTGGACAAAATAAGTATATGGAGCACCACTTGGCAAATGGAATTTAATGTTAATAAATGTCATGTTATGGAATGTGGAATAGGAGAACATAGACCCCACACAACCTATATATTATGTGAGAAATCTTTAAAGAATTCTGATAAAGAAAGAGATCTAGGAGTGGTTCTAGATAGAAAACTATCACCTGAGGACCACATAAAGAATATTGTGCAAGGAGCCTATGCTATGCTTTCTAACTTCAGAATTGCATTTAAATACATGGATGGCGATATACTAAAGAAATTGTTCATGACTTTTGTTAGGCCAAAGCTAGAATATGCAGCTGTTGTGTGGTGCCCATATCTTAAGAAGCACATCAACAAACTGGAAAAGGTGCAAAGACATGCTACTAAGTGGCTCCCAGAACTGAAGGGCAAGAGCTACGAGGAGAGGTTAGAAGCATTAAATATGCCAAAACTAGAAGACAGAAGAAAAAGAGGTGATATGATCACTACATACAAAATAGTAACAGGAATTGACAAAATCGACAGGGAAGACTTCCTGAGACCTGGAACTTCAAGAACAAGAGGTCATAGATTTAAACTAGCTAAACACAGATGCCGAAGAAATATAAGAAAATTCACCTTCGCAAATAAAGTGGTAGACGGTTGGAACAAGTTAAGTGAGAAGGTGGTGGAGGCCAAGACCGTCAGTAGTTTCAAAGCGTTATATGACAAAGAGTGCTGGGAAGACGGGACACCACGAGCGTAGCTCTCATCCTGTAACTACACTTAGGTAATTACACTTAGGTAATTACAGTGGTACCTCGGAATGCGAGTGTCCCTGTATGCGAGTTTTTCGGAAGACGAGCAGGATTTACTCCAAAAATATGTCTCGGAAGGCGAGGGTTACCTCGGGACGCGAGTTTGTTGATACGTGTACAGGCCGACTGGCGCGTGGTGGCATGGCGATCGCGCCTCAGTTTACCAGTGTCTCGTGTCCAGTGACTATCCCACCTGAATTCTTCACAAGGATTTAGTTTTTTATCGGTTTTTTGGCCATTTGAGCATAAAAGTTGTCATTATATATCTTGCCATGGGTCTCAAGAAAGCCATTGGTAAGGTTCAACCTAAGAAAATAGCTGTGAGTAGAGGCAGTAGAGGATGTCCCTTCTTGATTAAGAAAATGTGTGAAGTATGGGAAGAACTGCAAAGTTTTGTTGAAAAAACTCACCCAGATAAAGCTGTAGCAGGCCGTTGCATTGACCTTTTAAATGATAATGTAATGTCTTATTACAGACAAGTGTTAAAATGTAGGGAAAAACAAGTGTCATTAGACAAATTCTTAGTAAAACAAGCAAGTCCTAGTGGTATGCAGGCAAAATGTGCCAGTGTGCATACCAGTGAAGTCCTCGCTGCCTGATGTGATAATGGAAGGGGACTCCCCTTCCAAACAGTAACTCCTCTCTTCCTCCCACCTCCTCACCATCTTCCATACGCCTACAGCATTCAACAGCAAGGTAAGTAATAACTTGAACATAGTTTTGTAGGTTTATTTAGATGAATTAGGTATAAAAATTTAGTTTGATGTGGGGTTTTTGGGGTAGTCAGGAACGGATTAATTCATTTCCCTTTATTTCTTATGGGGAAATTAGCTTCGGAATGCGAGTTTTCGGAATACGAGGCGTCTCCAGGAACCAATTAAACTCTTAAACTGAGGTAGGCCTGTAGTTATGAAAAAGCACCTTCGTTTTATAATTGAAATAATTGAATCGAAAACTTTAGTTATGGCTATTAATGTCATTAGTTATTCAGATACTTTACCTGCTTTATAATTTGGTATACTGTACAAATATTTGATGATTACATGTCACATTATTTGCAAAAGTCATGTTTTGTTCAATTGTTTCTGGGAGGATTTCTGAATTTAACCAGTATCTAAACATATTCAATGAAAATCTGCATTACTGCCTATATATGGTGAGGCTTCATGGATTTTTTTAACTGTTGTGTGCTGATGTTTTGACATTTTCTAATTCATTATGTTCATATGTAAAAGGTCTTCAGTTAAAATCTGATTTGTTAATTTATTAAGATTCTTTACAATTGTGTGAACAACTATTGTTTTGATCATAACTGAAGCCTAATTTTATCAGCACAAAATTGTAACATTATTGATAATTTTTTCCAGATTGATGATAGGTGCCTTGATCTTCCAGCTTCCTTGTACAACACACCAGCCAAATTTAATCAATCACTTTTCCAGAGAAATATTTTTCAAGTGTTGGCAAAGCTAGTACCACATCACATGCATTTTGATTACAGTATCCAACGAAAGGTATTTTAATTTAATTGTTTAATAATAAATTTGTTAGAAATTTGACTAGAAACAATGATGTACTTGTCACTATTGTTAATATTTGAACAATTTATCACGTATGCTGTCAAATATAATATCCACTTCAGTTCCAAAAACATTAAGATTCAAGGTATGCAAATTAATGTTTACAACCTGTTTTAATAAGTAGTGAAATAATACAAATAGTGTAGGCTTGTTTAGTTTAGTAAATTATAGTAATAGATGTTTTTCTAATAGTAAGTTGTTCATGTGATGCCAAAATGGATTGCTTAAGATTGGTTGACATATTGATGATCTTGTATTTGAAAAATATTACAGCAAATCCTTAAAATTTTTATTAAAGAAAGGAATGGAAATGTTTGAAATAATGAATAACTTTGAATTTAATAGAATTTTTTTTTTCAGGTAATCAGATGCTTATCAGTGGGAGTAATAAATCAATATTCAGGACCATTATGCATTAGTACTATAACTATGTGTGTATTGGAAATGCAGGATTCTATGCTCAAAGTCGTGGCTAGTGTCATAAATAGCTTTTCAAGAATGTCTGCTACTGTCCCAAGGGCTAGGGCAATGATGGAATTTCTTTCAAGTAAGTAGCTAGTCATTTTGTTGATGTATTATGACCTTGCTCGAACGGATTTACGTGCACTGGAATCCTTGGTTACATGAAAAGAACCGGCTAACGTATTAACTTGTAATTATATGGAATATGGTGTCTGCTCCACCAAGCTATCTTGGTGTAGGGTAAACAGACCCAACTCAAAACATTCTCTGGAAATTTTTTTTTTTTTTTTTAAGTGTCAAAAACCCTTCCCTCAGTATGGGTATGTCAAAAAAAAATTTGAAACTGTGCTTACTTTGACTGTTATGGGGTCTGTAAGTTGGCGCGTGACGTCATCATTACCCGTTCGCCCATGACGTATGCTCCTGGGGCCAGTAGAGCGCCTGGGGCAGGGCACGCGAGTTGCCGCGAATATATTTGTTCATTTTTTGCACACGGTTCCAAATACATTTAATTTGTTTTTACGTGCTAATCCTTGTATAATGAACATGTGCACTATATTATGGCAGTAAAACATCTGTACTGTCCGAAGACACTGTTACATGCATGACATTTGTGTACACATATGTTGCACATATTTACCATGTATCATGCTAATTTATGTATATATACAATCTATTTACACACTATACATTGTCACACACTATATACATTCACCATGAACACATTCAGAACACCGCGAGTGTGAGTTGTCACACCCAGCCAGCCCTCCCTCACTCCTCCAACATCTTACTTGCAAACATTGCTCCTCCCACCATACTGTTAGTGTTTTTATTACACTATTTACACGTTATATATACCTATCTACACGTTTTATTTACCAGAACTATGCAAGTAAGCCGGTATTGTCCAAACAGTACAGTGGCCACCATACACTGCATGAGAAATCACACAGCAGACGACGCTACGATTACGTCACCTCCCTCACCAAAATAGCTCCTCTCAACATACTCCTGTTGCTGTTATTACACTATATACACACACACTGTATATACCCATGTACATGTGTGTGTTCCCCATAGCAAACCACAAAGCTAGTATGGTGAGCAAAACAGAGTGGCTGCCCCAAACACTGAGGCTACTTCAATTCTCTCCCTTCCTCACCAAAATTCCTCCTTCCACAATACTACGCACAATGCTAATTATAACCACAATCCTGGTCACTAATTCCTATAAATGAATAATTGACCAAAAGTTTATTTTGAAAAGGAACTTTAGAAGTCGTTTGAAGATTCCTAGATGGACGAAATAATACTGTGGTGCTGTGGCTAGCGCTGTGAACATCGTGAACAGCATTGAATTACTGATATTTGAACATTGTACCCAATCATTATCACTCAGGCTCTTCTATAATACTATCATGGGTAAATAATACAGGTTATATATATAATTTGACATTATTAGGCGATGCTGTGGTCACACGCTGAACAGCAGTGCTGTGCGCTCATGCTGTGAGCACCAGCCTTGGTTGCTCACTCACTACTGAGGCTCTCACCCGGGAATGTAGACCACGATTTTTTTTTAAAGATGGCATCTGTTTACATGAGCCCTGAGGAAGCCGATGTGAACCCCCATGTAGCCACAGGAGTTTTGAATGGAACATGAAAAATACAAATACCCGGAGGTGCATAGCGCACCCCAGACATGGACCTGCAGGCGCATTGTGCAGTTAAAGGGTTAAAAAAAAAAACATTTTCTGGGTGAGACCCGCAGGCTCCCTAGAGCCATTCTGAGCTGATGTTGATAAATTAGTGGCAACAGTCAATTGGAGCTCTAGGCCTACCGGGGGACCAATGCCAGAACTTTTCCCTCAGACGAGGCACAATAGCCTATAGACCCCCCCCCTCCTGTAATTGAAAGCAGTCTGTCTGCCATCTACCAGGTCAGGCACCCAGAAAGGTAGGAATTTAAAAACAAACTACCGCTGGTTAAAAAATTGCAAACCGAAAGCTGAACTAGCAAATAGAACTCCGTAATCGAAAACAAACGAGCATGACATCGCCACAGCTGCCCCGCTGCTATCTGTACAACTACCCCTTTTCTGGGAGGGGGAAGTCCCAGACCTTCGGCGCTCGCTAGCCAACCTCAGTTCAGAGGCTGAATATCAAAAACGTGAAAAAAATGCCAACCAACCGGGAGGGAGATAGGGAGGGAGGGATGTTGGGGGAGCCTTTTGGGTCTCGCCCAGAAAATAGCGTTTCGTTACATTCAACTCTCGTTTTGTGGAGAGCCCCTCTGGCTTTCCGGAGCTACCTAACCAAAGATAAAGGGTAAAAGGGATTTACCTAGGAGGCAGCTGCCACTTGCTTCTCAACTCGAAGTAGAGACAGCTGGCTGTAATCTGCGACCCCAGACTACACACACCCGAGAAGGGCCAGTAACATCGAGGTACCATGCAGCCAGGACCCTGTTTGACCTCCAAATGCCCCGTGCCTGAATGTCAGCCCAGGATATATTATCAAAAAAGTAGCCAAAGCCGTGAACTTGCACACGTCATGGGCACGGGAATAGACTGCAGGCTGGCTGGACCAAATAACCCTGCGAACGACCTGGAAGACCTGCACCCTGGAACAGGGAAGAAGGAAAATCGGGTTAACCCAAAGTGCATCCCCAGCCATGAGGGCTGTGGTGTGCAAGTTAACTGCGAAGAGCTGCAACCAGACACAAATGATGCATCCCTGGCCAAACCAACCAAGCATCAACAACCCAAGGACCCTATCGGAAAGCAGAAGTCTCATTCTTCGCCAGGAAAGGGGGAGACAGCTGCAAATGAACCGACTACCAGGACCAAAAGAGCAGAAACCCTGCGCCGAAGAGGAACATGAAGCTCCCTGACCCGACCCGACCCGACCCGACCCGACCCCCAGAGGCCAATGCCAACAAGAGCTTTAGACAAACAGTTCTGAACCAAAGGGGCCCACTACAAACCGAAAGGGGGGAGAGAGCACCCGATCTAAAGACCAGGACAGCTCAGGCAGGGGCATGAGCAGGCCGTAGGTGAAAAAACGCTCAAGAGAATTTGTGGAACGGAGCAGAAGTGACATCCACCCTGAATGCAAGCAGAAGCGACTCTGCCAGCACCGCACGATATATAGCGACAGTATTCAGCATAAGAAGATTGCCCTGAAACTAAGAGAGGACAAAACAACCCGATTAGAAAATGAAGACAACCTATGAAAACAGTGCCGAAAGGACCCCCAGGAAACTTCATACTGCTGTCGAGACAAAATTCGCAGGTGGGACACCATCAGCGAAGCCACCTGATCACCATACAAGTGGTGATAAACCCGCATCAAAAAGACCAGACGCGAAGAAGATCGAACCAGCCATGTACTGGACTGGACAATCTGCTGAAAGAGACGGAGTCACGGGAAAACTCTCGGGCTCGGACACTGAGCAAGCAGTGCCTGAACCAGGGTTGTGCCGGCCACCAAGGTGCCAACAGGACTACTCTTCCCTGGTGAGCCTCCAAGCGAACCAGGACTTGGACCAACAACCGAACCAGTAGGAAGAGGTACAGGTAACCCCATCTTGACCAGTCCAGTCGAAAGGCATCGACCCTCATGATCTCAGTCTGGGAAGGGTGCCCACAGATACTGGAAGACGCCTCGACCAAGCAGACGCGAAGAGGCCCACGTCTGAATGTCTGGCAAAGCCAATGGAAAGTTTGCATCAACCATCAAGTCCGTGGGCAGCAGGCTGAAACAAAACAGGCTGTCCACCAGAACAGTGGACACTCCCTGGACATGAACCGGCAGGAGAGCCAAACCCTGAGAACTCGGCAGACAAGTCATTTGAAGCGACCAGCCATAGAGAGCCAAGGACCGCATCGAACCCCCATGGTTCAGAATGAACCACGGGAGCAGTTCAACTGGATCCTGATCATTGATCCACGAACGACTCACTCTTTAAAGAGTGCCACACCGCCACGAACTTCCTCACCGTGCTGTGAGCTGGACGGAAGGATGGACCCCACCGACCCTGGCAGGACTAGAGCACTGGTCACAAAGCCCCAGCTGAGACAAGGCATCCGTGTACATGTTGAGCGAGGGCTCTGGTAGGCGCCACAGCACAGAACCCCGAAAAAACTGAGGAGGGAGCTGTCGACACAGTAGCCAATGCAAATCCCCCAGGGTCTGTACCCAGCGATCCCAACCGCGGCAGAAGGGATGTCCCCTAAGGAACTCCGAACAGCTGCCTAAGCCTGATCCGACCCTACCGGTAGACCAGTACAGTGAGGTTCAGATTACCACACAGCTGCTCGAACTACTGACGTGTGGCCCGGGTGCCCTCCAAAACCAGCCAAAGGCAGGACCACAGCCTCATCAACGCTGTGGGAGGGAGAGACAAGGAAGCAGTCCGAGTCTGACACAAGACCCTGCCAAGTCAGAACCTGAGAGGGACCTCCTACAGTTCACCAAGAACCCGAACCTGGCGAGCTTGGAAAGAACCAAATATCTAGCGAGTAGACACAAAGACTGGCTGGGGAGCCCAGACCAGCCAGTCGTCGAGGTAAGCCAGAACCCGAACTCTTAAGAGGCAAACAAGTCACCACAACCCGGGTAACGCATGTGAACATGCAAGGTGCCAGATTTAAGCCAAAAGGAAGGCAAATAAAACAGTAAACCTGTTGCCCCACGACAAAAACCAAGCCAGTACCTGAACCCAGGATGAATTGGGATGTCAATGTGTATCCCAGAGGTCCAGGGACACAAAGTGCTGGACTCCAAAAGCAGCCGGACATGGAACAGAGCAGTCATCCAAATGGAGGGAGCAAAAGACCCAGGGGTTCAGATGAGAAGTTCAGAATGAACCACAGGTCTGCACAGTCCCATTTCAGAACTGGAAACAGGCAGGAAACCCACCTGAGAGGCTGTGGTTTCGACCTCGCCCGAGCAAACCAACTCCAGGATGACATGAGTGTGCATGGGAAGAGGCCTGCTTCACTAGCCCCGAACCCCCCAGAGGACTAGGAGCCACCCTACGCCACCGCAGGCCAGAGGAAACAACCGAAAATGCCCACAAATCGTGGGACCTGGCGAGAGCTCCCCCCCCCCCCCTGGTGCCCCGTCAATGGGGCGAACTGTGAAAAGGCCAGCGAGCCTTAACCACTGCACTGCGCAAAGCGCCTTTAGGCGCTCAGAGAGTTGTGCTTTTTGCTTTTTAATTTGGCTATATTTTAATGTTTTTTAATGTTTTCATTACTATTTGTGTTTTGAAATGGAAATATTTGACTTTGGAAACATTTTGACATTAAATTTACCTGAACATTTGTAAAAATAACAAAAATATGTCCTTGTCAATTGGACCAAGACGTTTTTGCCGAAAATAGGTGAGCAGTGCAAGGGTTAAGAGAGCCCAACTGACGCTTAGTGATCACTGCGCTGACCAGATGCCGATGGCTCCTCAGGAGGGGCTAGCCCTAAAACTGGCACAATTGGCTTACGACGACTGAAGGAACCCCGAACCCTGACACGACCCTTCTGGGCATGACTACCATGGCCCCCTTCATATTCCCCTTCCCCCTGGAGAACCAACACGTTCGACATAGGCCGGCAACTAGGCAAAGCTGCCTGCAGAAAATGCATTACCGCGACTTCAAACAGCAATGGACAAAAAGGGGACGAAAATATAAGAGCCAGGGCCCAAGCAGATTCTAGAGAGTGGATGAGCACCGCCTGCTGGCACTTAAGGCGGGAAGCAAAGAACACGTACCGTTTCCTTCATTATTGGCAGACACACCACCCCATTAAGGAAGCAGACGCCCGTGCTGCCAAGGCAAGCGCACCAGACACAGGCCCGGAACCTAGCTCCTCCACATCCACCTTGAGCCAGTCCGAAGATGGTTCCAAGACTGAAGCAAAGAAGAGCAAGACTGAAGCCTAATGCCCACGGGCAAGCAAATCTTTGGCCATCAGGGATGCCGAAAGAGAACCTGCCCATGAAGTTGCACCTGACTGATTATCATGAAGCACAGGGATGAACAAGCACGCATTGAGGTGCTCAAACTTGGCCGCCGCCCCCCCCCCCCCCAGGTATACTGTACTTCAATGACTAGTCAACTCTCGCCATTAAATTGTGCGGGTCCGACAAAACGCATGCCATGCCCTGAACGAAAAGAAAGCGCAATCTGCCAGCCAGGGAGACTCAGGTACCTTGTAACACACAAAGGAAAAGATGTCAAACTCGAAAGGATTCAGACACGTAATCCGGGTCTTACGGGAGGTAAGCTGCAAGGGGCCTCCAACACCTTCCTCGGTGGGATGCGGGAAGCCAAAAACCTCCAAGAGGAGGAATCTGAGGAACCCAAGGGAACCTGGAACCGAACCCTGGGAGGAGTCGAACTCGTATCAAACTCGTACAGGGAGAGAGGGGGGGAGGGATAGGAAAACCCCTCCTGCCTGTAATAGCAAGCCCCACGTCGAGGAGGGTACCAACACCCAAGTGAGGTCAAATGGGACCCAAGCCCCCCCCCCCCCCCCCCCCCAAGTCAACTCCTCCCCAGCCCCGGGATCCTCGACATCAGGACCTGGGTGCCGAGCCGTCCTCAAACCAATAAATCATGAGAAATGTCAAAACTTTTGAACTGTAGTCCTTGGTATAACTTTAAAAAAAATAAGTGTTCCCTATTAGTCCGTTCGAGTAAGGTGCCTCTGTATAAACATTGTGATTGATTCAAATGTTAGATTATAAATGGTAGTTTGTAAGTATTGCTAATTCATATAAAACACAACTGCTGAATATTGCAATATATTAAACATAAGTAGATAATTTTTTAGTGAATTAAAAAATGGAAAATAATGTAGAAAGCTCATTATGACAGTTGGCTTTGTATTTATTACATGTTTTTTGCAATCGACTTTTTACAAAACAGTTTATATTTCTAGTTATTTATTTTTCTGGGGGGAGCCCCTACGGCTCCTTGGAGTTATCCAGGCTGATACAGATATCCCTAACTTTGGCATCAGGCGATGTGGGTGGAGTTCTAGGCCTACGAGGGACCACATACCAGAACCTGGCCCCCTTCAGAGAGGCACGGGGAGCAATGGCCCATAGAATGCACATAGGATTTTGGAGCATTCTATATCTGCCATCGACCAGAACAGGCACCCAGAAAGGTACTCCCTGTGCTTCTCTGAGGGGGGCCAGGTTCTGGCTTGTGGTCCCCAGTAGGCCTAGAACTCCACCCACATTGACTAAAGCCAAAGTTAGGGATATCCGTATCAGCCTGGATAGCTCCGGGGAACCTCCGGGACTCGCCCAGAAAATGGAATTTCATTACATTCAACAGTTTTATGTTTTTTTTTCCAGCTCTTCTCCATTTTCCCAATGTATATTCAAACTTTGTGGCAAATCAATACAAGTTAATCTTTGCAATTGCCATACATTACACAAATCCTACCAAGTTCAACCACTACATTGTATCCTTGGCCTACCATGTCATCGCCATGTGGTTTCTCAAATGTAGATTGCCATATAGGATAAGTTCTGTAACATTTATAACTCAGGTAATGTGATCAAAAGGTTTTTGTTTTATATTTATATATATAATCTTTTCTGGGCTGGCCCCTCAGTCAGCCTGTCCTCCTAAGGTTCCCAACATCAAGAAAATTATCAGTTTATAGTGTCCTCTCAACTTATCAGGGGACCCAAAACAGAAAACGAGGCTATACATCACTTTCATGAGCCAGTTCGTTTCAATTACAACAGTTTTTGCCCTTGTGTAATGCATACGATCGAAATGCGATCTTCTTCGTAAGAGGACAGGTTGCCTCAGTAGCTTCCCAGTGCATTGGGCTTTGGTTGTGCAATTCCAGAGGCTTGATATAAACTATTAGGCTTCTGGAATTGCACATCCCTATGAAACGCACCAGAATTTGGTGTGATTCTTTTGTTGATTCTCAAGTTGACGATCATAGTTTCAAGATGAAGAGTTCGCTTTCCACCAATGCCAGCTCCAGCTTGATTGATAACTTCGTCTTGGACCAGTAATCCTAACTCTATTCTCAATGTGCTACAATTTATTTTGACCCATAAATAAATCTTAGTGAATGATCAATTTGGATGAAAAATTGTGTACAGAAGTGAAAATAAACCTAATATCTCCATTTTACCAGGGTTTGTGAACTGGAAAAAATTCCACCTGTGGTGGCTCACCCCTATGTCATCACCAAAGATCAGTCACCAACACGCCTGCCTTGACCTTGAATGTTAAGAAGATTTTTATACAATGTATATACAATGTATCGCAAGCTTTCTCAGGCGTTGTTTCACCTCCAGCCTGCTCATGCGCCGCCTGAGCCATCCTGGTTGTTGCACCAAGTGCTTTCTTTTCTCTCTCCTCCTCTGTTTGTCATGGCCCCCTCAGTTCAGGACTGTTTTTCTATGGCTCTTCTTGTTGGCATTGGCCTCTTGGGGTTGGATCAGAGAGCTTCATGCTCTACTCAGTCGCAGGGGTTTCTGCTCTTTCGGTCCTGGTGGTCATTTCTTCGTTTGCAGCCATCTCCTTTTCTGGCAAAGAGTGAGTTTGCTGCTTTCCGAAGGGATCCTTGGGTTGTTGATGCTTGGTTGGTTCGACCGGAGGTACATCATGTTTTGTCAGTTTGTGGCTCTTCGCTATTATAATATAATGGGTTTGCAGTAAACAGAGAAAGAAAACCCGGACCTGACTGTGAACGTCAAGAAAAGAAAGGAGGGAATTAGATTATCATTCAACTTTGAAATAGATGGAAGGAACCAGATTATAAAAAGAGAAAAGGCTGGAAAAGACTAAAGGTCATGAGGCCATAACGCAAAGATAACAAATAATGATTAAGGCAGCGTCTGGGATGCTCTCGGACGCAAGTTCGAATCCTCGTCACGGCCCTTGTGGATTTGTTCAGATATCAACATAGCGAAGCCAGAGAGAGGGACGAGTGTCAACAGAAGGAAGAACAGTTTCATAGTATTCTATGTAGAGATTGGCAAGAGGGAGAGAGTGGGAAGTGGGAGAGGAAGAAGGGTTCCCACTCTCCCCTGTTCTTGCCAATCTTTACATGGAATGCTTCGAAACTGTTATTGTTCCTTCTATTGATACTCGTCCCTCTCTCTGGCTTTGCTATGTTGATGACATTTTTGATTTACGGCCTCATGACCTTAGTCTTTTCCAGCCATTCCTTTCCTCTCTTTACAATCTGGTTCCTTCCATACATTTCAAAGTTGAATGGGAATCTAATTACAGTACCTCCCTTTTTCTTGACGTTCGCATTCACAGCTCTGTCTGGGTTCTCTCTACAGCAAACCCATGCATAGTGGCATGTACATTCACCACTTTTTCCTACCATCCTCATGTTAAGAAGTGTCCTCGTGTGTCTTCCTCCGTGCTCTACGCATCAGTGACCCTCGGTTTCTTGATTCTGAAATTTTTGTCCACAAATCTTTCTCTCGCCTTGGTTACCTTTTACATTTTATCAACTGTGCCTATTCTCAAGCTAAACAAAATTTTTTCATCCTAAATCTACTTCCAACACCAGTAGCACTGTGCTCTGCCTTCCCTTCATATCTGAATTCAAAACTCTAATACCTTTCGTCCTCTTGACATAAAGCTCGCCTTTCGACAAACACTCTTCGTAGCAATCTAGTTCACACTGCTGGTGTCTACTCTATTACCTGTTCATCTTGTCCTCTCCAATACTTTGGTGAAACTGGCCGTACACTTAATGACATGCACAAGGAACACAAGAAATGTTAAGTCTGCAGACACAAACCATACTCTGTCATGGTAGGGATTCTAATCATCCTACTGATTTGTCTTCCTCTAAAATAATCATTCCTGCCTCTACTCTACAGATGCCCTCTTGTCAAATCGGCTCCGATATACAATATGCCCAACATGAACCAGAATCCTGGCTTTGTTGCTCTTGACTCTTCCCTTTCACAGTATATACTTGAATGTTCTGAACTTTCTAACAAATGTGACCTAACATAAGCCTACCCTTCCTTTATCTTTTTCTCTTGTTCCCTTTCTTATTCCTATTATTACCCCCCTTTATTACACCTTACCTTTTGTATCTTTTTCTTCCTCTAAGATTTCCTTCTCACCTCTTGTCTATTAATTACCCTTGCCACCTTTGTCTCATCACAATCGACTTGATAATGTTCCAGGACGGGCTGAAATGTTGTTGTTTCTTCACTTTCTAGTGTGTGGTTTAGTCAACACAATCTTCATGGTTTGTCTTGGTTCAGTCGAGGTCCGTCATGTGTATGTCTTGGCCATATTTATAGTTGCATCTCGTGCCTAATACTGCCTGGTTATCACTCCCCACTGGCAGAGCCTTTTTCAATTGGCATTGACTCTTCCTTGGTGCCATTTCACTATTCTTATGCATTTGTTCACCTCTGGCCAGTTTTTCTCCTAAACCATTCAGGTCTTTTGACCGTGTTTTGGTATCTTTTCTTGCCTCATTAGGTTTCCCGTTTGGCTCGTAATATCATTCTCAAATTTGTGTTTTTGTTGGCACTAATGTCTTGTTGTAGGATTGGAGAGCTTCAAACTCTTCTCTGGAGGTGGGGGATTTTATTCCTTTGGTCCTTGTGGCTGGTTTGTTTGCAGGCTCCTTCTCTTTTGGCAAAGAATAAGTTGGCTAGCTTTCAGTGGGGTCAGTTGGTGATTGATGCTTGGTTGGTCTGACTGGGGATACATCACTTGCTTTGTCCACCTTTTCACCGCTTCCTAAAGGTCACCAGTTATCTTGGTACATGCACTTTTTGGTTGACCTTTTTTTCTTGATTCCTTGATCCAAGGCCTGAATTTTTCAGGTTGACCACAGTTATAAAATACAGCCAGCAGGTGATCTATCCTTAGGCCCTGTGATGTTACAAAGTATGTTGCATGGGCAGTCTTCTCCAATATGTCCTGAGCTGATATATGGACTCTGATTTTGCGATTCCAAAAGGGTATCATCACCCTGTCTCTGGCCACCAGTACCCCCCACTAGTCAGCTGCCACTGGCATTGAACAGAAAAGCGCTTCCCAATACAATGTACTGTAGTGTACACATCACTATCTCCGGCCACAATACTACTATCAGAATTCTGGTCATTAAATCATGAATATAAATAATTTTTCATATGTTCATTTTCTAATGGAAGGTGAGGTTGTTTGTGTTGAATAACCAGATATGTACTGCCTGTTTTAAACTTTTAGATTTGTAAATGTGTTAAATGATTTACCAATTAAAGGTATATGAGCAAAGCTTCATGAATTTTCTCAGCATTAAGAAAAAGCTAATAAACTCTTTAAAATTCATAAACCTTCTCGGCTTATTCCAATTAGACCAAACAAAGGACCTTTCGATAGTATTTTATAGAAATGTGCTCTAATGAAGCAAGTAAAAAAGTTATTCATTTCATTCTCATTTATGAAAATAAATATAAATCTTAGTTTAGCCAAAATTTAATATTGTACAAGTTTTCTTAAATTTGTTTTATTTACAGCACTTAAATGCAATTCTGAAGAATATGGCAACTATTGAAGTGAAGACTTCCAAGGATTCAAAGCCAACAAAGGTAGGCAATTACAGGCATTTTGGCTTTGAATTCATTTTAACATTTGAGGAAACTAAGGCTCTAATTCATTATAGGTTGTATGGTACAGTGGCCTGCATTCTAGACTCTTAATCAATGATTCCAAATTTGGTCACCAGGAGTTACAGAAATGGGGAAGTTCTCTTCTTGCCTGATGCCATTTACCAAGCAGTAAATAGGTACCTGCCAATTGTTATGGGTTGCATCCAGAGAAGGTCGGTAGTTGACCTGGGTGACCTCGGTAAACTCAAGTACAGTATAGGCTTCCTGTCTCTGACAACAGGAATTATAATGGCTGACTGTTAATTATATAAAGTTATGAAATGTCTAATGAATATTGGTGTTGGCACTTTCAACTGTAATAGATGTAGTTTAATTACCTGAGTGTAGTTACAGGATGAGAGCTATGCTTGTGGTATCCTGTCTTCCCAGTACTGTCATGTAATGCTATGAAACTACCGACAGTTTTGGTCTTCCACCACCACCTCACTTGTTCCAACCATCTACCATTGCAAAATAAAACTTTTTAATATGTTTTGGCACCTTTGTTTCCTCAGCTTGAATTTGTCCTTGTTCTTGAAGTTGCCAATTTCAGGACTTCCTCTATCAATTTGTAGATAACTGTTATTATTTTGTAAGTGGTGGTGATATTGCTTCTTTTTTTCTTTTATAGCTTTGGCATGTTTAGTGCCTCTAGTCTCTCCTTATAACTCTTGTTTTTCAGTTCTAGATGCCATTTTGTAGCATGCATTTGCACTTTTAATTTATTGATGTGATTCTTGAGATGTAAGCACCATACAACCTCTGCATATTCCAATTTTGGTATGTCATGAACAATTTCTTTAGTATTTCACCATCAATGTAGTTAAACAGTCTGAAGTTGGAAAGCGATGAATACGCTCCTCGCACAATGTTCTTTGTGTTCATCTGGTGAGTTTGCTATCCAAAATCCTAATAGGATTAGAAGGCCTACACTCAAAAAAAATTGTCAGTGATTTTAGAAAGATACGAAAATATGAGAGATAAGAACTGACTCTTAAGGGTGACGTTTCATGGAGAGAAACATATGACAGAGGTGCTTAGAAATGCAAGGAAATTGCATTGTAATGAGGATGGCAAGCTTTGGTTAATGTGAGAACTCTCCAAGGAAGATGGAGAAAAGCTGAAAATGAACCTCACTGCAGCAAAACATCTAAATGGGGATAGAAATTGCCAAATTCTTTTTTCTACAAAGTGTTGGAGACTGGAAGGTTAGTGAAATGGTACATAAAAACAAAGCAACAAAATCACTAGAGGAAGGGGGAAGTAAAGAACAAAGGGAAGGGGAACATGTTCCTGAAAATAGTATATACCAAAATAGATGAAGTGAGGTAAAAAAATATTGGAGCTGAAAGGTATAATTCAGCTTAAGGTCCCAGATATTGTAGTATTAACAGATGAAACTTGAGAAAATATTTTAAATGAGGTGGTACTAGTATTCCCAAGAGGTGACTGTGCTGGTGAAAGAACACCTGAAGGTAAGTGTTAATACTTGACAACCCTCGAAATTGACATGGCATTGCAGGTCTGGAATCGGGATGATAAACTGGTAATTGTAACTCCCAACAGCCCACCAGCAAGCAACACATAGATAAAGGAAGACCTGGATGACAAACAAGAGGGCCTCATAATAGTCCGAACCCGAAACGCTTTGCGTATTAGTGGCTTTAGGCATTGTATGTACTAGCTCTACCTATAAGTCTACCAATCCTTGTAAAAATTTATTGTATGTATGTACCTTACCTAAATAAAATTGTATTGTATTGTATTGTATTGTATAGTCATGAGAGATTTTAAAAAATGCAGATAAAGATGAGTCATTATGAAATTGAAATAAGTTTAATGAGGTAAAATACACACAAAGGGATGAGGTAGCTCAAGCTATTCTCACCCCGTTCAGTACATCGTGTTAATACATAGTCATCATTGTTGGTACTGGTGAACTTCAATTTCAGAGCAATAGACTGTGAGTCCTACGAAGAAGAATGGAGGACATTTGGACAGGCAGATTTATAAACCTCATTCTGAACACAGGAATGTGTCAATACGTCAAGTAGGCCACAAAAATGAGGGAAGGGGATGTTTCGTCAGTACTGGATCTAATATTCACCAGGAAAGGAGAAGATATTTGACATCCAGTAACTTTCTTCCCTAGGAAAGTGTGATCATGTCCTGTTGGACATTAAATATGCTTTGAGATACTAAAGAAAATGGGGACATTGAACAGTTGTTAAACTTAATTTCAAGAGAGGACACTATAGGGACCTTAGAAAATTGTTTGAGTATAATTGGACAGACTAGTTCCTAGGCAAGGAAGTAAATAAGATCTATGCCAAAATTTTGTTAAATATTCAATGAAGGGACACAAACATTCATACCCAAAGAGATGCAGACCTAGGAAACAGGATTGGTTCAACATATTGTGAGAGGGGTCAGAGACCAAAAGACACACAAATGAAATCAATATAGGAAGAGGCCTAACCCTCAAATATACCAGCGATACAAAGATGTGAAAAACTACTACACGGCAGAGAGGAGAGCGGCAGAAATAGATTTTGAAAAAGGGATAGTGGACAAATTTAAAATAAAACCTGGCCTTTTCTATAAATTCATAAACAATAAATTGCAGGTAAAGGATACTATTCAGAGGTTGAAAATGGAAAACAGATTCACGGAAAAGGGAATGTGTGAAACATTAAACGAAAAGTTCCAGTGTGTGTTTGTACAAAATGGAATCTTCAGGGAACCAGACACGATAAGACTTCCAGAGAACAACGTAGTGCACAGAGGTGTTTAGAGACAGTGGAGAAACTGCTCAAGGAGCTCAGTAAGAACAAAGCAGTTGGCCCAGATGGAGTTTCACCTTGGGTTCTGAGAGAATGTGCACCTGAGCTCAGCATTCCACTTACACTGAATTTTCAGGCATCTGTGTACAGGAGTCATAGCAGATGTGTGGAAAAAGGCTAACATAGTTCCCATCTACAAAAGTGGCAGCAGGGAAGACTCGCTCAATTAAAGTCTTGTATCGCTGACAAGTGTAATAGTAAAGATATTGGAAAAAATAATTACAACTAAATGGGTAGAACACCTGGAGAAAAATGGTTTATCAGTCGGTATGATTTTCGATCTGGAAGAGCCTGTGTGACGAATTTACTCGGTTTCTGTGATAGAGCCAGAGATTTTACAGGAGACAGTTGGATTGACTTTATCTATCTGGACCTAAAAAAAAAAAAAAAAAAAACTTGACAGTTTCACAGAGCTTGTTCTGGAAACTGGAACATATTGGAGGGGTGATGGGTAAACTTCTAACATGGATGAAAAATTTTCTAACCAATAGAAAAATTAGGGCAGTAATCACAGGAAATGTATTGGACTGGAGGAATGTCACAAATGGAGTACCACAGGGTTCAGTTCTTGCACTGGTAATGTTCATTGTCTACATAAATGATCTACCAGATGGGATACAGAATTATATGGACATGTTTGCTAAGATAATAGGGAAGACATAACTTTGAAGTGTCATGCCCTTCAAGATGACCTGGACAAAATAATTACAACTAAAAATTTGGATAATTACAAATAAAAATTATATGGAGCACTACTTTGCAAATGAAATTCAATGCAAATAAATGCCATGTTATGGAATGTGGAATAGAAGAACCTAAACCCACATAACCTATAAATTGTGAAATGTTGACCAAACCACTCTTAAATTTTTAGTGTGGTCTGGTAAACATTTTTCAGGCACGTTATTGTGACTTCATCTTCATATGTCAAATCTTGAAAGAATTCTGATAGAGATCTAGGTGTGGTTCTGGATAGTTTTCTATCGCCTGAGGATCGCATAATGTTGTGCTATGGGCCTATGCTGCATAATGTTGTGCTATGGGCCTATGCTGCATAATGTTGTGCTATGGGCCTATGCTACTTTCTAACTTCAGAAATGCTTTTAAATGCATAGATGGCAAAATACTAAAGAAATTGTTCACAACTTATGTTAGACCAAAGCTGGAATATGCAGTGGTTGTATGGTTCCCATATCTTAAGAAGCGCATAAACTGGAGAATGTGCAAAGATATGCCACTAAGTGGCTCCCAGAACTGAAGGACAAGAGCCGAGAGGAAAGGTTAGAGGCACTAAATATTCCAAAACTAGAAGATAGAAGAAAAGAGGAGATATGATCACTACGTACAAAACAGTGACAGGAATTGATAAAATTGATAGGGAAGATTTTGTGAGACCTGGAATTTAAAGACCAAGAGGTCATAGATTTAACTAGCTAAACATAGATGCCAAAGAAATATAAGAAATTTCACTTTCACAAACAGTGGTAGACAGTTTGAACTAGTTAGCTGAGTAGATAGTGGAGGCCAAAACCGTCGGTAATTTCAGTGTTATACGACAGAATACTGGGAGGACAAGACACCATGAGCGTAGCTCTCGTCCTGTAATTACACTTAAGTAATTACACGTATGTAATTACTTGTATACTATAAAGATATCTTTGTATTTGCCTTTAAGCACAATGTGTTGGTATTTAATGCACTATACTGTATTGAATGTTGTTACAGTGAATAAGAAGGCATTTTCATATTTTTCAAGTCATTGTGTCAGGAGACAGGCAGCCTGTGTGATATATATACGTGTGTGTGTGTGTGTGTAATTACCTAAGTAATTACCTAAGTGTAGTTACAGGATGAGAGCTACGCTCGTGGTGTCCCGTCTTCCCAGCACTGTCATATAACGCTTTGAAACTACTGACGGTCTTGGCCTCCACCACCTTCTCACTTAACTTGTTCCAACCGTCTACCACTCACAACTATCTACTCACTACTACCACATACAACTGTGTGTGTGTGTGTGTGTGTGTGTGTGTGTGTGTGTGTGTGTGTGTGTGTGTGTGTGTGTGTGTGTGTGTGTGTGTGTGTACTCCCCCTATTTGTACTTGCGGGGGTTGAGCTCTGGCTCTTTGGTCCTGCCTCTCAACCGTCAATCAACTGGTGTACAGATTCCTGAGCCTACCGAGTTCTATCATACCTACGTTTGAAACTGTGTATGGAGTCGGCCTCCCACATCACTGCCTAATGCATTCCACCTGTTTACTACCGACACTGAAGTTCTTTCTAACGTCCTTGTGGCTCATTTGGGTACTGTTTCCACCTGGTCCCCCCTTTGTTCGCGTACACCCGTAGTAAACAGTTTATCATTATCTACCCCTGTCAATTCCCCTGAGAATTTTAAAGGTAGTGATCATGTCTCCCCTTACTCTTGTCTTCCAGTTTTGTGAGGCGCATTTCCCGCAGCCTTTCCTCGTAACTCATGCCTCCTAGTTCTGGGACTAGCCTAGTGGCATACCTTGAACTTTTGAACTTTTTCCAGCTTCATCTTGTGCTTGACTAGGTACGGGCTCCATGCTGGGGGCCGCATACTCCAGGACTGGTCTTGTATATGTGGTATACAAGGTTCTAAATGGTTCCTTACACAGGTCCTGAAAACTGTTCTGATGTTAGCCAGCCTCGCCTATCGCTGCAGATGTAATTCTTTTTATGTGGGCTTCAGGAGACAGGTTTGGTGTAATATCAACTCCTAGATCTCTCTGTCCGTGTCATTAAGTACTTCATATCCTATTCTGTATACTGTGTCTGGCCGCCTGTTTCCATTGCCTACTTTCATTACTTTCCATTTATTCGGGTTGAACTTTAGCAGCCATTTGTTGGACCATTCATTCAGTTTAGGTCATTTTGTAGCCTCCTCCTATCATCTTCTATTTTAATCTTCCTCATAATTTTTGCATGATCAGCACACAGTGATAGGAATGATTCTGTACCCTCTGGGAGATCATTTACATATATTAAACGGTATAGGTTCTAGGACAGACCCCTGCGGGACTCCACTAGTGACGTCTTGCCAATCTGAGACCTCACCCTTCAGTGACTTGGTTTTCTGTTGCTTAGATACTCCCTTATCCAGTGGAGTACCTTCCCTTTCACTCCTGCCTGCATCTTCAGCTTTTTCACTAGCCTCTTGTGTGGTACTGTCAAAGGCTTTCTGGCAATCCAAAAATATGCAGTATGCCCACCTCTCTTTCTTGCCTGATTTTTGTTGCCTGGTCGTAGAATTCATTTAATCCTGTGAGGCAGGACTTGCCATCCTTGAACCTATGTTGATGCTGTGCTACAAAGTTCTTCTGCTCTGGATGTTCCACTAGCTTTTTTTGCACAATCTTCTCCATCAGCTTTGTGTGTGTACTTGTACTTGCCTACTTGTGCTTGAGGGTGTTGAGCTCTGGCTCTTTGGTCCTGCCTCTCAACTATCAATCAACTAATGAACAGGTTCCTGAGCCTACTAACCTACTACTAAAAATCGGAAATTCCCAATTGAGAGTCTAGAACAGACCCAACTTATGAAAACTAATTTTAATATCGCATATAATACATGTTATGTATTTTAAGAATTTTTATTAAACACTGTGAACATTTACAGTTGCATATTTTGCATGGTACAGTATTACAGAAATATTACTGTCCACTGATTAGTTATATAATGCATTCCTACTTTAATTTTTGGGCAGGTTAAAGGCAAGAAGAGTGCTCAGGGTAAGGTGCACACAAGTGAAGAAAATAAACACAAAAATATGGAGTTTTTCAGTGATCTAAGAGAGACGTGCCTTGACCTCATGTCCAGATATACATATGGATCGTGTCCATCATTTCAAAAAAGGCAAGATGATTTAAGTTTTTAACGTGGGAAATAGGTGTCTTGGTTAATTTATAGTATTTTATATTTAACCACCGCACTACGTGCCTGCTTTCGGCAAAAAATTTCATAGTTCAATTTTCAAGGTCATATTTTTGTTTTCATAAATATTCAGGTAAAGTTAATGTAAAAATGTTAGCAAACTCAACCATTTTCATTTCAAAACAGTGATGGAAACTTTAAAAAACATTTAAAATATAACCTAATTTAAAAAAACAACAACATAACTCTCAGAGCGCCTTTGGGTGCTCTGCGCAGTACAGTGGTTAAGCATAATTTTCAAGTACAATACTTTAAGGTCTCACTATGGTGGTATTGATGGGTACAGAAAGCCAGAGGATTGTCAATGTTCTTCCTTATTTTCATAATTTTTTCAAATGGGATTTTAAACTCCAGTATTATCTTGGCATTTACGGCTTTGGCAGGTAGTTCGATGGTTTTATAACCCTGTGGGTGTAAAAGCGTGTGTTGCCCTGCATGGTGACCTGTTGAGCTTGCAGCTGTTGCACATAGTATTCATTATACTTTTAATTTAAAAAAAAAAATGATGTGGCCCAATAAATCCTCCCCGGCTAGCATACGAACCCATGACAAAGCGCTCGCAGAACACCAGGCGAGTGTCTTGCCACTACACCACGGAGACTGGCAAAGAAAATTTGAGATAAAGGTCACACAATCATATTACAAGGGGTAATGAAAGTGAAATTAATTGCACAACTAATATTTCTTACTCTCTTAAACTGGTTTGTGTAGTTGGGTTGGGATACATTTAACTTTTAATTACATTTGGAAGGTCATACCACAATTTGGAATGATTTTGATTTGCACGGCATTTGTGATTTGGTTGTCTCGCTCTAGGAATATCAGATTTCTCATGTGGTGTCAAAGAGTTCTATTACAGCCCTATATGAAGTCCTTAAGGTTAGGATGGCACTGTTGTTGTTTTATAGATAGTACAGTATGTGCAGCAACTTGATGTTTAACATGTTTCAAGATTTCAGTAAGAGCAGAGTGGGACTGGAGTTTATTATTGTTCTCATTGCTGATTTTTGTAATTAGGAGTTGGAAGTAATTAAACCTTGCAGGGTGCAAATCATGTATTTATGTAATTTTGGTCTACCTGCCTGGTAGACCAAAGATACCTGCCTGGTAGACTGGTAGATACAAAGCTGCTATTAGAACAATATCTAACTCTGGTCCCAGACATCACTCGGTACCCCTACTCAAATCTCTAAATATGTTAGATATTAAGTCACTGCACATCCTCTCATGGTACTCTATATATTTAAAACTCTGAACTGTAATGTCAATCATGACCTTAAAAGCTTCTTAGAAGGTTGTAACAGAACCCATGGGCACCACACCAGAAACAAATACCTATTTGATATTCCAAAAGTACGACTTAATCAAACTAGAAATGCTCTACAAATCAAAGGACCCAGAATGTGGAATGACCTTCCCAATCATGTCAAAGGCTGTACCTCTCTCAACCAGTTTAAGATAAAAACTAAAAACTTCCTAATAAATTCCATGTAACCTACCTTACCCCTAAATGTCAACCCATGTCTTACTATTTTAAACAATGCTGTTTGTTGACAAACTTGTATAATTGCTATTTTCTGCCATGTCCCCTCCCCCCTCTTTTTTTATTATTATTATTATTATATTATTATTATTATTATTAAAATATTTTCAAGAATCATGCACTTAATTTTCATCTCTGAAGTGTTGGGTTTAAAGTTAAACATATCCACGATTTCCTTACTATGGCCTGCTTACGGTGGAACTAGGTTTTCTTTGCTATTTATGACTTTCTTTGGTTTTGTTAAAATTACTATAGTACGAAGATTTAACAAAAATATCTTTGACTTAAATTTCAGAATGAGTACAGCTGACATGTGGATTTCAGGTCAAAGTCGGTCATGGTTAATGGGTACCAAGATAATAACCATTAAAACATCTGGATGTGAACAAATTGCAGTTCAGAATGGACTCTGCATTAAATGTCTTCAAATATGCTGTGCACAAAATTGTAAGTAATATGTCACACTTTAAATGGTTAAATGAAATTGTGTAAAATTGCCTTAGTGTAGTTAAAAGATGAGATACACTCGTGGTGTCCCATCTTTCTAGTGCCATCATATGATGCCTTGAAACTAATGGCAGATTTGACATACATCACTGCCTCACTTGTTCCAATCTTCTTCCATTCTGCAAAAGGGAACTCTCAAATATTTTCTGGGGGGAAGTCCCGAAGGCTCCCTGCCTCCGGGGCTCAACCCAGAAAATGGCATTTCATTACATTCAATGCTGGTTTTCTTGGCAGCTTTTTTCCCTAGTTTTAGTCTCTGCCCTCTGTTCTTGAAGTTGCAATTTTCAAGAATATTTTTAATTTTTTATTATTATTTATATAACCATTTACTTATAACTTAAACTGATAAAACCATCTAATTTCAAAAGTCAATGCTTTGGTTGATTATATCAGGAGTTTGAAATTACAGAATAAATTGCTGAAATTTTTATTTTCAATAGTGCTAGCTTATGCAAATCGGGCAAGGGACTTATTAAATCACTCAATCATGGAATAATTACCTGTTCTCTTAAAATTGTCAGTTTCTCGCCCATCAGCTGTGTACTCGGGCTCAAAATCATTGGCTCGAGCAGTATTGTCAATACCCAAACTCTCATTTTGAGCCAACATTACACCATGAAGTGTCTATTTCAATGCTATTCAGTTCCAGAGTCATCTAGAAGCTGCAAATCAACATCAGATAAATTGGCATCAGAGTCAAGTTGCCTGGAGTCTGTATCATCACCAGGATCCTCAGCTTGTCAGTCACCAATTAGTCCAATTTCGGATCTACCACATAGCAGTTTGGCCTCGGATTCATTTCCTACTTCACCTCTCAATCGAGGAGTAAGTTTCCTTTGTTTAAACAAATACAATTATATATCTACTAGCTGTACCCAGCCATGCGTTGCTGTGGCTTGGCCACAGTAACCTCTTTCAAACCCGTCCTCCCCACAAATCTTTCCTGCCCCCCCCCCCCTGTCCTCCCTACCATTCTCCCCTGTCCTCCCCACCATTCTCCCCTGTCCTCCCCACCATTCTTCCCCTCATCCTCTCCCCTGTCCTCCCCACCATTCTTCCCCATCCCCCCCCCCCATCGTCCCCACCATTCTCCCTTGTCCCCATTACCATTCTCCCTTTCCCCACCCACTATTCTCTCCCATCCCCCAGCACCCACCATTCTCCCTCCCCCCCCCCCCCCCCTCCACACTTTTTTTCTAAAAGCATGTTTTTTACCTGTCACAGGTGTGGCATGTATATAGTAGATATTTAAAAACATGCATGTATTCAAATGCATTGTTGTCAAAATTTCAAAGCAATCGGTGAAGAACTTTCAGTGATTAGCAATTTTGAACAAACGAATGTTTACATTTTTACTTATATAGATAATATATAATAATGAAAGTCCTTCAATAAAGAGAGTCCTTGCAGGATCGAGCATTGACTCTTGGATCCCACCTTTCTAGTTGCAGTTATTTATAGCAATGACTCCTGTCCTATTTCCCTATCATACCTAGTTTTAAAATTGTGAATAGTTTGCTTCTACAACCTGCTCCTTAAGTTCGTTCTTTTTTCCACTATTCTCATGCTAAAAGAACTTCCTAATATCTGTAACTTGTCCGAGTTTCCAGCTTCCACCCATGTCCCCTTGTTCTGTTAGTATTCATGGTGAACAGTGTCTATTTCCACACATGTCAATCACCCTAAGATTTTTGTTTTTATCACATCCCCCCCTCTCCCTTCTATGTTCTAGTGTCATCAGATTCAGTTCCTTTGGTTGCTCTTTATGCCCCATCACTTGTAACTCTGGGACGAGCCTCGTCGCAAACTTCTGAACCTCTTCCAGTTTCCTTGTTTCTTCAGGTGGAGAGACTATAATGGAGCAGCTCTCATGTAGGCACTGTAAAGTGCCCTAAATGCCTCCTTCCTTAGGTTTCTGAATGATGATCTCTAACTTTTGCCAGCATAGAGTACAGTACGCAGATGTAGTTATCCTATTTATATGTGCCTCAGGAATTAGATTAGGTATTACGTCCACTCCCAGGTCTCATTCTCAAATTGTCACAGGTAGGTAGTTTCCCTTCATTGTGTACTGTGACCTTGGTCTCCTGTCACCTAATCCCATTTCCATAACTTTACATTTGCTAGTGTTGAACTTAAGTAGCCATTTCTCTGATCATCTCTGCAACCTGTTCAAGTCCTCTGAGGATCCTGCAATTCTCATGTCACAACTTGTCTCATTAATTTTGCATCATCCGTGAACATACAGGACTACTCCTGTAGACATGTCATTTTCGTATATTAGAAATAGACCTGGTCCCAGCAAGGATTCTTCAGGTATTCTACTTGTTACTGTTTGCCAGTCTGACTTCTTGCCCCTTATCGTTACTTTCTGGCTCCTTCCTGTTAGGTAGTTCCTTACCCATGCTAGAGCTTTCTTGCTTCCAGAACTGGAAAAAACTATGAAGAGTTTAAAGATGTAAAATATCAAAGCTAGAAGATAGAAGAAAGTGGTGATATCACTATATACAAATTGACAAAGAAGCATTCTTGTAACATGCATCTTCAAGAACAAGGTCATAGACTCTAGCAAAGGAAACAAAACTTCCAAAAAAAGGTTAGAGTATCACATTCAATACTTACAGCAGTCTTCACACTATAGTGGTTAGACATTCTATTATCCACACAAATGTTTGAAGGAGATGAAAAGAATGAATTAAAGGATGTTCCAATAACATGTGACATAATCAGGAAAAGCATTGACACTTGACTCAAAAGCCCCTGGTATGGTTGGAATTTAATCCAAATTTGTAAAGAAATTTGCAGATGAAGACCTCTACAAGGTCATGGAGAGAATACTAAGGGAGATAATTATTCACCATCTCTGAACAATCTAGTAAAATAAATGCATGGGTTTCTTAAAAAAAAAAAAAAAAAAAAAAAAAAAAAAAAAACTGCATTCCAAAAATGTGAGCTGGTTTGTAAATGGTGACTGCTCTTCAGATAGAACTTCTAGTAGATGTTCTATACAGTGGTAGCTTAGTTTTCAAATTTAATCAGTTTCCAGAGATGGTTTGTAAACTGAAACTAATTTTCCTCATACAAAAGTGTAAATTGAATTAATCCATTGCACACTCCCAAAATTTTAATTTAAAAATAAATTTTATACATACTACTACTAGTGCATACTGTAGTACAAAATATAAGCATAACTTAACTTTAATGAGGCCTCTTGTTGTATGGAATACGGTGAGGAGGACAGGTGTTAGTGGTTGGAAGGGGAGACCTCTTCCATTATAACATCAGGCACTGATGACATTTCTGGGGTACTCTGTTTTTCAGGCATAACACTAGGACCTGGTTGTGGCTCGCTGCTTGCTTGTCTTACCAAGAATGTCTAAAGCTGCTTGTTTTTCCCTACATTTTAACACTTGCCTGTAGCGAGACATTACATTGGCATTAAAAAGGTTAATGCAATGGGCTGCTACAGCTTTATCTGAGTTTTTCAGCAAAACTTTGCAGTTCTTCCCATACTGCACACATTCTTAATGAGGAAAGGACATCCTCTACTCAAAACTGTTTTCTTAGGATGAACTTTATCACCAACTTTCTTGGGACCCCATGGCGTGATATATAATTTTGTTCAGAAAGCAAAATCATTTAAATTCTTCACCAAGAATTCAAGTGCGATTGCCACTAGACGAGACACTGGTAAGCTGAAGTGCACCTTGCCCATTCCACCGTGAACCACATGCTACGTTGACTCGTATGTGTATCAACAAACTTGCCAAGCGAGGCTAAGCTTGTATACAGAGTCAAATTTTACGAAGAAATTGAGCTTGTAAACCGAAAAATTTGCAAAGAGGGGCATTCGTCAAACGAGGTTCCACTGACTTCGTTTAAGGTTTTGATAAGGTACCATGTGAAAGACTACCAAGGAAATTACAAGTGCATGGCATAAATGGTAGAATAATAGAATTGTTGAAACAAAGAAACCAAAGGGTTGTCCTAAATGGAAATTAATCTGACAAATGTGTTGAGTAGGGTACTGCAAGGAGTTCATTTTGGGGCCAACACCTTTTTGTCATGTGCATCAATAAGGACAGATAAGGATATTACAAACCACATCATCAAATTTGCAGATACTGTTCAAAGATTTATGGTAAAATAGGAAGTCAAAATGATATTGGTCTTGCAAAGATGTCTACATGAACTACACAAGTGGTTTGAGGACTGGTAAATGCTGTTTAAGGGGCCTTAACACCTAAAAATGTAATAAATGAAAACTGGTTTGAAATCAGTCTAACTTAGCCTAGTTGTATATGAAATTGGCTTCAACTGGTCCAAGTCTCGGCATCATAGCATAAATAGGAAGGGAGAGAAAAAATGTCAAATTTTCCAAAATGGTAAAAAATTAACATCAAACAAAAGTATCAACTGAAATCATGTCTGACTCTAAGCTATCACAATAGCATATAATAAAGTATTTTAATAATTAGTTTTATCCCCAAAAAATTTAGTAAAAAAAAAAAAAAAAAAAAAAAAAAAAAAAAAAAAAAAATTGGGCAATTTGCATGAAACTTAGGCATATGTTCAGTAAGGTCTCTATCTGTAAGGGGTGCCAATTTTGGAGGAAATTGGTTTTCAACCTCAGCCACAGGTGGCAGAATCTTTGACTTCATTTACTATCAAGTAACATAAGTGACTACATTTTCATTTTTTATTCAATTTACATGAAACTTACACCTTATATGTAGAGTTTGTGTCTACAATCTGACACTTTATTCCTAAGTTCATTTATTCATTTTGTAAATATTTATAAACATTAAATATTTGCATAAATTTTTGGGTAACTTTGACTATTTGTATTAGTAAAACTAAATGTATTTTGGAAAATCTGCTTGGAAAAAATCCTTTATTATATGCTAATGTGATAGATGAGTGTCATAGAAATGATTTAATTTGAAAATTGTGGTTGTAGAGAATTATTGAAATGTGTAAAATTTGTTGAATTTTTTTCTTCTGCTTAGGCTGCGATATTGGAACTTGGAACAGTTGCAGCCCTTTTCATATACAACTAGTCAAAAAAAAAAAGATTGGTTGACATTGAACAACTGTTAATATCCGGTGTTAAAGCCCTTTAACATTAAAAAGTAAGATCTTGCATGTGTGGTACAACACTGCGGCAAATTGATGAAGAAAAGGACCTTAGTCAGAATCCACCATTCACTGAAGTTTGCACAAGTGGAAGCTGAAGGGGGGGATGGGAAAGGTAACCGAACCCTAGGAATAATCAAGCAAACCTTTAACTTCAAAGAAATGGTAGTTATTCAACTGTGTAAATCTCAGGTGCACCCCACTTGAATTATTGTAACAAAGCATGGAGGGATCATTTTCACACACACACACCTGCTTTGGAGAAAGTCTAACACCTGGTGACAAATCATTCCAGCTGAGTCTACTCATGCCAGAAAAGATTGAGGACCACAGGACTAATACTGTATACCAGACAAGACAGTCCAGCATGTCTGGTCTGATCATGTAAAATATTGAAAGATTTGGAGTATACTGACCCAGACAATTTCTTTAAAAGGTCAGCTGTAACATTAACAAGGAGCAACAGTTTCAAGCTCAAAAAGCCACAATGTAGGACAAGACAGGAACTGCTTCTTCACCCATAGGGTTATAAACCCATGCAACCACCTACCCACCAAAGCCATAAATGCCAAAAGAAGTGCTGAATTTCAAACTCAAGCTCTATAAAACCACCAAGCAAAGTGGGACCTTTTGGAAAGCTACTGGCTTGCATTCCTCAAGACCACTAGATATGATGGCCCTTGTGTAAACTCGGGTAAACAAATGTTAGAAAAGTTGTAGTTTGCCAGCAGTGGTAGACAGTTGGAACAAGTGAGGTGGTGGTGGTGGTGGAGGGTGCCAAAACCTTCGGTAGATATAAAGCTTCATATAATAGTACTGGAAAGACTTAACACCATGAGCATCCAGTAACTATACTTGGGTAATTACACACCTGTACGTGTACTTACATTATAAAGATAAAAATTTATTAAGATGTGTATTCAAAGTAAGGGAAAACAAATCTACATTTGGGGTGGCCTAGTGAATGAACACTACCAATTTACATTGCAGCTAGGACAAAAGTTAGACATGCATTCCTCATTATGGCTCTAAGGTGAACTGCCATCTGGGTGATGCATTGATGTCTGCTGATTGCAATTAAATCCATTTAACATTTCATGACATTCAAACACTGGTTAATGTAATTCTTCAAATAGATTTTATGTGCATCAGGAATGCAGCATGCCACAGAGACATCGTACTTTCCATAATTGTAAGAATTACAGATCATGATGGAAGCTTTAATGAAGTAATGATGAATGTCCTAATGAAATCATGGTGTCCTTTACATAATTGTGCAGCACATGAATGGTTTCTTGATTACGGCATTGCCTGAGCATTGATTCATATTCACTCATTCCAAGATGGTTACTATGGGCTTAAAAGCACAAGGTAGTTTTAATGCTGTATCTTCTAAAAAGTTACAAATTTACATCTTAAATTAAGGTAGTGTGTTGAGATTAACGTGTTTATTCTAATTTCAGGCTAAGAGCAAATCAAGTTCGATGTCACTGTTCTCGACCAGTGAAGGTAAGGTAGCTGCAAGTGAGGGAGATTGAGTGAGGGGAAGTGGTTGAAGAATATATGCAAAGGAGAGAGCCACCAGAAAAATATGCCAAACCAAAATAAGCAATGGCAAGATAAAATAGCAAGAAAACAAAAGGAGAGGAAGGGAAATTCTAAAAAATAGTAAAATCAAACGATAGAAAATAGGCAAACCAGTAGGCATCCTGTTCTTTTGGCTGACTATCTTGAGCTGCAGGCCACATGGCAAGGCCACCCTTAATCTTGGTACTATGAGGTTCCCATTTGGGCTCTTTAGTCCCAATTGTTAGGTAAATAGAGGAAGTCTTTTGAACTTCTGCGAATATCCCTGTGACTTCCCTGTGAATATCCGAAAGACACGGGTGCCAGTGTTTCTAGTGTTCAGAGTTGGAGAAATATTAGTCGAGCAATTTCTGTATTTGTCCATGGGGAAAAGCCATCAACACGTAGAAAAAGCAGAATGGGTGGCCAAAAGTATGTAGAGTACACTTCCTCGTACTATTACATGTATCTTCCAATGTCATAATCCTTATCTAGAGGACACGGCTAATCCTAGTGATTCAACCAAATGACACAGTTTAGAACAGTACTTAAAAAAAAAAAAAAAAAAAAAAAAAAAAAAAATGTAACTAGACCTACCCCATTTAAACTAGCAGGTGTTTGTTGAATCATAATCATTTAAACTTGTTTAATTCTGTGGAAGTCTTCACAACCTCTATTGAATTTTTAGGATATTAATATTGTAATTTACTTCATTCTACAGGTAACTTATCCTTAATATCAGAACTTGCAGGAGATGGAGTGTCTCCCTCTAGTGACCATCAAGTGTTCAGCCAAAGTGAAACTGCTCAGAACTCTAGTAGCCTGCCCAAACCTACAAAGTGTGTGTGTTGGTGCCAAGGATGGGCTGAAATAACAATCAAACAACCAACTGGTCAGTAATAATAATTTTATATTACGTACACTTGTGCAGCGTCATATTGGCATTATTTATAGTTTTCAGATTTGAAACCAAAGTATGGTGTACTTAGCTTTGTAGTCCCAATTCCAGTAGTAGTAGTAGTAGGCATCCATCAGTCTCGGGAGACTATGGAGTTGCGCTTTGATTGTCGGTCGGTCTGGAGTGGTCTCTCCAGGAAGAAAAACTAGGGTAGATTGATATGTGGGAGAAGCTGTCACCCCATGCAACAGGTCCCCCCCCCCCCATCTCCACAGCACCAAGTCTCCAATGGAAAGGCAAACGCCAATACGATTGGTTCCACTGCCGTCACAGGAACTGTCAAAGTGAGGTTGAAGGTCACATCGAACTGCCCCTATCTTGAGGTTATCTTCTTGAGGTTATCTTGATGATTTCGGGGCTTTAGTGCCCCCGCGGCCCGGTCCTCGACCAGGCCTCCACCCCCAGGAAGCAGCCCGTGACAGCTGACTAACACCCAGGTACCTATTTTACTGCTAGGTAACAGGGGCATAGGGTGAAAGAAACTCTGCCCATTGTTTCTCGCCGGCGCCTGGGATCGAACCCAGGACCACAGGATCACAAGTCCCGCGTGCTGTCCGCTCGGCCGGCCGGCTCCCCTAGGGACTCCAGCTCCAGAGATTAACTCGAAGTTGGTAAAAGGCACAGTGACTCCAAACCTGGACACCGCTGTGGTCAGGGCTGGAGAAGAACCACCCCAGCAACAGCAAGAATGACCCCAACCTCTTGAAGCAGAGCCTGGGATGCACGAGCCCCCTGGAGGTGGCCATCAGAGTCGTGCACCTACCGGCTCCAGACAGAGATCGTCACAGCCCCCTTTCACCTGAGGCCGGCTTCCTTCAAGACCAAGCAGAAGGAAGAGTAATAATTATTAATTACAATAATTATTATAACAGGGGCATGAGGGGTGAAAGAAACCCTGCCCATTTGTTTCCACCTTCCCTGGGGATCGAACCCGGAACCTTAGGCCTACAAATCTTGAGTGCTGTCCACTCGACTGTCAGGCCCCTTTGACACTCATTATATCACTCATTACTAATTATTTAAGTCTCTTAAATGTAGCATATCAAACTTTCCTTCTCTAAATAATTTTGCTTCGTGTATATTTTATTTATTCATATTTCATTCCTCACAACCTTTGGAACCTGCCTTTACGTTTTGGGGCCTGGGCACATACAGGCTTCTGATAAGAGTATTTAAACCTTGAGTGAGAAAATTTGAGATGGGTCCCCCAGTTCATTTTCTACACCCTTATAATAGTGTAGAAAATGGACTGGGGGATCCATCTCAAATCTTCACTAAAGGAAGATTCCAAAAGTTGAGGAATGAGATATGAATAAATAAAATAAAACCTTCCCTAGTTTAGATTCTGGATTCAAAGGGCAAGTTGGGTAAAACTTGAATGGAAAAAAAAAAAAAAACTTCAGTTACAGTAATTGAAGGCTCATCAATTTACGACTTTGGTCTTGTACTGCTGCTTATTACTTTCATAGGATTTTGAAAGTCGGTCTAGTCATTGAAGATAGGTTCATATATTTATTGGTTAATGCATTCTCTTGTTCTGTAGGTCCATAAAATTCATAATTTATTTTTTTACTTCAGGAAATACATCTTGGATGGTGCGTGTACAAAGTGAGCAGCCAACTTTGACTACTGACAGTGAAGTTTTCCTATATGATCAAAGTGAAATGTATCCACCACCCAGTGTGAAAGATAAGGTAATATTCTTGTAATGTGTGCATCCATCATTAAAATAAGTGATACAAGTGAGGAACTGTCATTTTCCACTCAATGAAATGTTAACACTTGATGAAACTTGTGCAGTGTTTAACTTTGACTTCAAAGTGTCACTACGTATGCGAGTTATGGCCCCTCAGTTGCTAACTTGAGCCAGCATCCTATGTAGGTTCACAAACACATTCTGCCCATCAGGCCTGAAATAGTCATTCACCATGAGCAGTAACATTTAAAATAGTCTGATCACCTTGTTCGAAACAGGAGACTTGCTTGATTATATAAAATGACAAACATATGACACTAGAAATTCCCTTCAAACAAAAATATTAATCGCATAGTCAATTATAATTCAAACTACCAGCTAGTAATCCGCTGCTATCCTGACCTCCACCAGTGGCTGGGAAACGCATCCCTGGGTAACACACAATTGACGAGCACCAGGCAAAATGAAATGCCTAATCATCTTAACCTGTTAGTCTATCAAAATCCCTGTATCTGAATATCTGTCCAGGACTTAACTGAAAATGGCATGTATGTATGTATAGCACGAATTAGAGGGGGCAATTTAGAAATACCATATATATTGGTTTGACTGTATAAATTTGTGCTTCTTAATTTAATGATTTATTGCAGAAAACGGCAAGTAGGAGGAGCGGTAGTATGTCAGGCACCCCCTCTGCTGGCTCTAGTAATGCTGGGAAAGATGAAACAATCCCTTCAATGCCTGCACAGCGAGAGAGGGGGTACACAGTGTCTGGCATGAGCCCTGCTTCCCGTAGAGGGCAAAGCATAAATTTAGGTGCTTCCAATGATCCCAAAACAATTTCAGGAGGCATATCACCTGGGTAGGTACATAACTTTATAATTTGCTAAGTCCTTTGTGCATGTTGGAAAAGGGGAAGAAATGGTTGCATTCCTGAAAACTGCATAAATTACATTTAGTCAAGTCAAATATGAATGCATTTTAGACTATAAAAAGGCTAAATATTTTCCTTTTGACAAAATGGAAAGTAAAAATATTCATACCTGTATTCCCTGGAGAGGAGCAAAGATTTCTGTAGCTGTCATAAAATTGATTTAAGTTTACAATACTGACAATGGCCTCTTAATTCTTCAGCTGCACATAGTGACCAGGGTCACTTCATCATTGGTGTGAACAGCAACCCGGGATGCTTTTAGAACTAATGTAAGATTTAAAAATCCAATGGATACACAGGGCTTGCATCCTTTAGAAAATACCTTGGGGAAAATTATTCATATTCATAATTTGGTGACCAGGAATCTGATGATAGCAGTGTTGTAGCTAGAATTAGTGATGTGCATAGTATATTTGGGGAATTTTGCTGTCTGGTGGCATCAACTGATGTTTGCATGTGGCGTTTATAAATGTACTGTATTTCATAACCACATCCACCAGAACTGTTTAGTGGTTCTTTATTGTGCATAAAAAGATATAATAATGTATATATGTGAGTATTATAATAGAAAAAATACTATGCTCTATTGTTCAGAGAATTATAATACAGTATTGTGCGCATATTAGCAACCCTCAAATATATCTGCAAGTACCCATGTTCTACATGTTCTGTGATAAAAACAGTATTGACAGCCCAGTGCATCATTCTTAAAAAAAAAAAAAAAAAAAAAAAACAGTAAATTGTTCAATGTGTGTATATAGAACTTAACATTTTCACTCGGTAAGGACTCGGCATTGAGTCCTCCATTAAAATATTTGCCAAAAATCCGATTTTTATCCGATTTTTGGGGGGTTTGGTTTTAAAATGCGTGCCAAAGCACCACACGCTGCTTTTGTTAGGCCATGTGGCACCCAGGCTGCTCAGCCCACGCCGTAGGCCCATTGTTTATGCTCCACTGTTGTGACCGGTGTCTCCTCCCCTCACGTCTCGAACGTGTTAACTTTTCGGCTATTTTCCGTGGCTATATTTCTTAGTGCAGCTTTAGATACGATAAAACTGAATGTTAAACCTTTGGTCATTTGCTCACTGTTAAATCTTGGCAATTTTTGTTTTTTTTAATTTATATCACAGCATTAATTTCTTACAGATTGTGCAATTGAAAACCAAAACAATTTGTACAATGTCTCCTCAGGTTTGTGTTTCTCCAGTTGTATTTCCATGGTCAGTTTGGGAACATTGACGATCGTCCGATTCTGCTTTCCACTGATCAAGTTGAGATCACCCGTGCTCTGGATTTAATCGACTATATAAAGCCTCAAGAGACTCACAAAATAGGGGTGCTGTATGCAAGAAAAGGACAGACTACAGAACGAGAAATTCTAAGCAACACCTTTGGTTCCCTCAGATACATGTATTGTATTTCGGTAATATTGTTAAGGAGAAACTATTTTAACTGTACTGGATATAATTTCATTAATATAAAATTGTTAATTATATGCTATAGTAAATGTTGCATGATTGGAGAATTTAATACCCATATGTAGCCTGTATTAAATCTAGATTTTAAATTTGTCAATACTTTTTTACATTTTTTAAATTACTCTTTTATCGTCTTCAAAATTATTGCAAGGTATATTCCTTAAGTTGTAGTTTACATACTGTAGGTAAAGAATAAATTTTGAGGCATTCTTATTCTTACAATTTTTGTATGTACTCTTAAGAGCTGTAATAATTGGTAGATTCTGTTGGCAAATGTTCATGTTCCCATGGCTGTAAGGCTGGTAGACATTCTATAATGGCACAACAGGGATATTTTCAAATATGTTAATTGAGTTTGTAGCATACTCAATCCAGCCAAGGGAACTTCATGAGAGCTTGTTAACAGTACTAAATAACAGTACTTTTTCAAATAGTAATTATGATTTTAATGTGGTTGAGATGTTGAAAGACTGGGGCCATGCCTTACCAAACTTTCCTAGTGGGAATGAGTAAAGTGATTTGGATTGTCATATTGTAGGGATATTTTTTGTTTTTGTTATAAACATATTAATTTTTTTTTCATTTTACAGGGTATGGGAGAAACACGTGACCTAAGAAATGTGTCTAAAGAGGAAGTGTTCCTCGGTGGCCTTGACACAAATGGCCGCGATGGGGAAGTAGTTTACGTATGGCATGATGATGATATGCAGGTATGTTCTCGGTATTTTATTTTGTATATTGAACTGTTTTAAGCCAAGATTAATTTTATGCTTGATCTATGATCCTTGATAATTGTTTAACCCTTGTGCTGTGCGAATTGTATGTACTGTATAAAATATGAGTAAATGTCGCTGAACTGCGCTCATCGCATGCGTGTGTGTGTAATTACCTAAGTGTAGTTACAGGATGAGAGCTATGCTCGTGGTGTCCCGTCTTCCCAGCACTCTGTCATATAACGCTTTGAAACTACTGACGGTCTTGGCTTCCACCACCTTCTCCCCTAACTTGTTCCAACCGTCTACCACTCTGTTTGCGAAAGTGAATTTTCTTATATTTCTTTGGCATCTGTGTTTAGCTAGTTTATATCTATGACCTCTTGTTCTTAAAGTTCCAGGTCTCAGGAAATCTTCCCTATCAATTTTATCAATTCCTGTTACTATTTTGTATGTAGTGATCATATCGCCTCTTTTTCTTCCGTCTTCTAGTTTTGGCATATTTAATGCCTCTAAACTCTCCTCGTAGCTCTTGCCCTTCAGTTCTGGGAGCCACTTAGTAGCATGTCTTTGCACCTTTTCCAGTTGGTTAATGTTCTTCTTAAGATATGGGCACCACACAACTGCTGCATATTCTAGCTTTGGCCTAACAAAAGTCGTGAACAATTTCTTTATATCCCCATCCATGTATTTAAAAGCAATTCTGAAGTTAGAAAGCGTGGCATAGGCGCCTCGCACAATATTCTTTGTGGTCCTCAGGTGATAGTTTTCTATCTAGAACCACCCCTAGATCTTTCTTTATCAGAATTCTTTAAAGATTTCTCACATAATATATAGGTTGTGTGGGGTCTATGTTCTCCTATTCCACATTCCATAACATGGCATTTATAAACATTAAATTCCATTTGCCAAGTGGCGCTCCATGTACTTATTTTGTCCAGGTCTTCTTGAAGGGCATGACAATCATCTAAGTTTCTTATCCTTCCTATTATCTTAGCATCATCAGCAAACATATTCATATAATTCTGTATACCAACTGGTAGATCATTTATGTAGACAATAAACATCACTGGTGCAAGAACTGAACCCTGTGGTACTCCACTTGTGACATTTCTCCAGTCCGATACATTGCCTCTGATCACAGCCCTCATTTTTCTATCAGCCAGAAAATTTTTGTGTGGTGAACCCCGTGTATCCGCGGGCCATTTAAATCTTGCGTAGTACTCCAAAGCATCACATGATGCGATGCGCAATTTACTGCAAGTCGGTCAAAGCATCATATGATGCAATGCGCAACTTAAGGGTTAATTGTGACGATACAGGGCTGTTTTGGAAAAGATTGCCTAAGAGGACATACATTACCAAGGAGGAAAAATCCTTGCCCGGACACAAGCCTATGAAAGATAGGTTTACGCTTGTGCTGTGTTCTAATGCGAGTGGCAATTTGAAAATTAAACCCTTGAAAATTAAACCCATTCTGAAAATCCAAGGGTTTCAAACAGTATAAAGTGCAGAAAACCCAAATTTGTGTGATGTGGAAGTCTAATAAAAAGGCATGGGTGACTAGGATTATTTTTTCGGAGTGGATGAATGAAGCGCTGTGCCCTGCCATAGAAAAATATCTGCAGGAGAAACATTTGCCACTCAAGGCCCTGCTTCTCCTCGACAATGCCCCTGCTCATCCTCCAAGATTGGAAGATGAATTGATGCACAGATACAGTAAATTTCTCACAATAAAGTTCCTCCCTCCTAACACCACTCCTCTAATTCAGCCTATGGACCAGAAAATCATAGCGAATTTTAAGAAACTGTATGAAAGGGCGCTTTTCCGGAAATGTTTTGAAGTGACTGAAGCCACAAACCTCACTCAGTTCTGGAAAGATCATTTTAACATTTGTAGTGCTTTAAAACTCATTGACAAAGCCTGGCAAGAAGTGACTCAAAGAACCCTGATCTCTGGCTGGAGAAAATTGTGGCCTAAATGTGTGACAGAACTAGACTTTGAGGGGTTTGAGCCTGTAAATGATGCGCCTATTGTTGAGGAAATTGTTACTCTGGGCCGGCAAATGGGCTTGGTATTGGATGGTGATGTGGAGGAGTTGGTGGAAGAACACAACGAAGAACTGACCACCGAAGAACTCCAAGCCCTTCAAAAGGAACAGCAAGACGACCCAGCTGATGATGTTTCTCCAGTGGAGGAGGATGTGGTAGTAGTGAATGTCCCTTTTGCACAAATTAAGGTGGTGTCAATGTGGGAAGAGATTCAAACTTTTATTGAAAAGACTCGCCCAGAGAAAGCTGTAGTAGGCCGTTGCCTTAATCTTTTCAATGACAATGTGATGCCTTACTACAGAGACAGCTTGGGAAGAAGGGAAAAACAAGCTTCCATGGACAGATTTGTTGAGAAAATTGAGCAGTGAGCCACAACCAGGACCTAGTGGTACTCAGGCAAAACGTGCCAGGGAGTGCACACCAGAAAGGTCCTCACTGCCTGATGATAATGGAAGGGGACTTCCCTTCCAAACAGTAACACCTCTCCTCCTCCCCCCTCCTCACCATCTTCCATACGCCTACAGCATTCAACAATAAGGGTAAGTAATAACTTGAACATAGTCTTGTAGGTTTATTTAGATGAATTAGGTATAAAATTTAGTTTGAAGTGGGTTTCACACAAATGAACACTTAAAAGAAAGAATTTTGGGGATTTGTTTTTTTCTTGTGCCTGGCAATGTTGAACCCCTTAAGGCCCATAGCAGCATAAGGTTTAATAGCTGAGCAGCTCAGGAGTTCAACCAGCTCAGCTCTGGTGCCTTTTGTTACACTCCTGCCCTCAGCTTGTATGTTGACACTGGCTTCCCATCTCTTCAGGACCGCTGTGATCGCTACTGTCTTCGTTATCTTGCGAGGTCCTTACAAACATCCTTACTCTCGCCTCTGTCATGCTTTGACATTTACCTCTCCTGTAGTTCCTGTTCCTCTTCACCACCTCCCTCTTTCTGTCCAGTTATCTCGCTTACAGGATTCTCTTTAGATTCGTATTACTTATGTTTCTCCTCATATTGTTCAGTCCTTTTCCCCATGGAGGGTCCCCCTTTCTAAATTTTTTGCATCCTTGACCCGTATCTCTAAAGTTTTTACCCCTCCTACAGTTCTGAAAAGCCTTTTTCTTGAACACTTGTTTTCACACTCCCACTCCACTCTTTTTTTTTACACTCCACACTCTATTCCCTAGCGGCAGCGTGCGGACGCTGCTGCTAGGGAAGCTGTCCGCTCTTGTCCCATCTCCCGTAAAGGTATTCCTTATTCCGACTTTTACCTAGTAATTCATTCCTCCATCTTTACCCGTTGGCAGGATTGTTGGTTTTCTGTTACTGGTAACAAACTGCGTACTCTTAAGAGTAGTGTGTACTCTTGGCCTTCCTCCTACCACTGTAACCGGCGATGGGAAACGGCTCTGGCGAGATTGCTTATTGGCCATACACGCTTAACTCATGGTCACTTAATGGAGTGCTGCCCTGGTTCTTATTGTGCAAATTGCATTGTCCCTCTTAGTCGTGCATATCCTTGTTGAATGTCCTGACTTCCAGGACGAGCGTGTCTTGCTTTCAGACCGTCCCTTGCGGTCGCTTGTTCCTCGATAGAATTCTTGGTGAATCAAATACTTTTGATATCGTTTGCCTTATGTGTTTCTGTTCTTGTATTGGCATCCATGGTAATATTTAGCACCCACTGATTATTCCGCACATTTAATGGCGTTACATAGCCTTCCCGGTTTGGTGCCTTCTTTTGATAATTACATACATGCTCACGGGTAATGCTCAGCCAATTTTTGAGTTTGCTGGTGGTGGCAAGCTGGGATTTTAACCTCGTATGCATATATTCCTTTATGGAATTCTATTGGAAACAAATTGATACCAAAATTTACAACGTAGCACAAAAATTGAGGTGAGAAAGCTGAAGAGTACACACATTTTAGTGCAGGTGCATGCTGACACAAAATGCTCGGTCCACATTGTGGTGTGCTGGGCGGTGCGTGCTGGTTTGGGCAGTATTAATTGACTAGTTAAATGCGGAGTTGTGTGGTCAGCCTGATAGGGCGTTATAGTGCTTTCATGAGAACCGTAACGTTATTTCTTAGTTAACATGGACTAGCCCACTTTCTCTTGCTTGGTGCCTTCTTTTAATAATTACTTTGCCAACATGGTCATAAAAATATAATGCTTTTGAAGAACGTAATATTATGATGTACAGTTCATTTACCAGTGCTGCTTTGTTCTTTGTGGGTTGCCCTGAATAGCTCCTCTTGGGTATCCATGAGTGAATCTTCACCTAGGCTTGAAACTAACAATGATCATTAAATTGTACATGGTTCCATTTCTCTCCAGTTCAGAGGATCTTTTCAGTGCAGTCGCAATTGGAGTTTTTTTTGGACTGTGTTGCAGTGTTCGCTCTTGTAGCAGTCATCTCTGGTTCCCAGTCCTGTTCACTTGTCTTCGTCTGGTTCCCTTAGACAAGGGAACTGCTTCACCTCTCAAAAGATCTTACATTTCAATATTTTGAAACCTGCTGTATATCTTTACTTCACACACCCTTTGAATTCACAATTTTAGCACCCTTGAAAGATCGTTACATTTTCGTGTTTGAGGTTAGAAACGGCTCTGCATCTGGAGTCTTGTGCCTCTTCCCTAGAATCTTGTATCTTGCACATCTTGGTCATCTTTGTTTGCTGTGCCCGAGAATGTTGTTTGACTTCCTACCCTTAAACTTGATAATGTTTTAAGAGCTATTTGGTGCATTTAAATTGCTGTTTTTCTTAGCTTTTTGGATGTATAGATGCTCACATTTGCCAAATTTTTGTCTGCTGCTCTGAGAATGTGATGTTGATCTCCAGAATTTTAAAGTTTTTTTTTTGTTTCAGGTTGTCTTCCATATTGCTACTCTTATGCCAACTTTACAAAATGATCCAAATTGTAACAACAAGAAACTCCACATAGGCAACGATTTTGTTACAATTGTATTCAATGAAAGTGGTGTACCATACAATATAAACACAATGAAGGTAAGTAAATTATACTTATTAGATTGTGCATGTGTGTAGATTATAGCCAGTGTAATTTTAGTTTTAGTTTTCTGGGATGGCTCTATGGTTGGCTTTTATTGGCTTCCTGTTGCAAGCTGCCTAGTACCTCTATCCAAGTTTTCACACAAGGTTCTAGAATCCGTAAGTCTACCAGACACCAAAACCTGGCCCATTCATAGGTGCAGAGAGTAGGGGGATGCTAGATCGATCACCCTAACAGAAATAATCCCTAAGACAGGTAGAGCAAAATAAAATGGGCAACAGCAAGGAAAATCTAAACAACTCTGAAAATGAGGCACAAGGTAGTTAGGTTGTTGACGCCACTAGTGAGGTCCCCTTCCCTCTTCCCCCCCCCCCCCCCTCTCGGTAGGTGACAGCACCAGGAGCTCCTGGACTGAACCATCAGTCACTCGCCTGTTGTTGATCAATATACAAGTGCTTCTCGTGTCAGTCTACCCTTCAGAGGTCCCTTTTTTTTCCAAATGAGTGTTGGTCATACTTTGAACTCTAGTTTTGCTAGGAGCACCTGCTTGTTTCTTCAAATTCTATGATAACTTCACATGCTTTTATTTATATGCCTCGCTTGCTATGTGTACCACGAGTAACTGTTTGCCTCGAGTTGCACGAGCTCTTTAAAGCTGTTAGCTGGTGTTGCCTTTCAGTCATTCCGTGCCTATAAATATCTGGTCTTGTAAATCACAGCAGCTCCCAACCGAACCATCTCAAATTTAATTTAAATTTGGTAGGATGTTGAAAGATCATGAATTAACAAGACAAATTTTAGCCTTCTGTGATGCATGATATTCATATAGCAGGGTTACCAATGTAATTAAAAAAATACATAATTCTTGCATACAAGCTCAACAAAAGTTCATATCTTTGCTTCTAATTGAGGTACTGTACAACCATCATATTTGACTTGCAATTTTAGGTTTGCATAGTTTTACAGTTTTAAGTTTTACTTTCAATATTGATATTTTTAAACATGACCTGACCTTGAATATATGAAAGGTGCATCTTTAACTTTTTGGATTTTTTTAATACAGTTAAATGCATTTTCTTCTTGGTACAAGTAAAATATGATTAAAAGTATAGGCTTATAGTAGTTAAACCCTTCTTGCACCAAACATGCATCTGGCAAGTTCATACCTCTTTCTTTTTCTTTTTTCTCTCCCCAGTTTTACATAGGTCCTAATTTATGATCAAATTCTCTGTACAGCTATTGTAACAGACATTGTTGTTGTAACAGAACCCATGAGCATCACACCAGAAATAAATACAGTTTTGATATTCCTAGAGTACGACTTAATCAAACCAGAAATGCTCTACAAATCAAGGGGCCCAGAATGTGGAATGACCTTCCCAACCATGTTAAAGACTGTACCTCTCTCAACCAGTTTAAGTTAAAAACGAAGCTATACCTAATAAATTCCCTGTAACCTACCTTACCCTTCTATTGTCAACCAATGTCTGTTTTTCTTTAATGAGCGCTGTTTGTCGACTTAATTGTATTTGTGCTGCTTTTTCATCTATGTTTTCATTTCTTTTTTCATTCTACTCATTATGCTCAATTAGTATTAAGCTTGTCATTTAAGTTTATCATGCCCGAAACGCTTTGCGTAATAGTGGCTTTAGGCATTGTATGTACTAGCTCTACCTATAAGTCAACCAATCTTTGTAAAAATTTATTGTATGTATGTACCTTACCTAAATAAACATTTTATTTTTTATTTTATTTTACATAAAAGCTAACACATGGATGATTGTTTTGTGTTCAGAGTTGGACTAAGCATCAACTTGAAACAAAATTTTAAACTATTGCTAAGAAATTGAGTGCTATTTGAAAATTTTCATTTGGCATCACTTTTGTCTTGTCTATACCACAGAAGCTTTAACAAGTAGTGGAAGGGACTGGTACAATATACCTGGACAGATGCATCTGTAAATACTTTAGTGATAACTTAATAATGTGACAATGGATAAGAAATGCATAGTGCTGCAATTCATTTGATATTGAAGAGCACAGCAGCAGTAGAAAATAATAAAGGAAGGACTACCATAGACAAAAAAAAATGGCCACATAAATAGTGAACAGTGTGGCAACTGTAGGAAAAAATTTAAATGGATTCCGTTAGTGAGGAAGGCTCAAGCACATAGATTGATAAAGTGCCATGAAAGGTGGACACACACACAAGAGTGAATTGGCTATACAATCATTAAATGAAACTCTAAGATTTGGAGTATCATTTGTGAAGAGAAAGAGAAGGATGGATGGACATACTGCAGACAAAAAGCGACTAAAATTGCAGAAGTTGTAAAAGACGAGATATTCCACATGACAGTGGAACCTATATCATTTGAAACCAGTAGGCATGGCAGGATGTGCAAAATAGCCCCATTGAAAAGCAGAGGTGTAATAGGTATGCTGAGGTAGAACTCTCAACATTGAGCCAAAGACTTTTCAACACTCCTGCTACACACAAGTGGCATAACTGGCCAACCTCCATGTTCGAGAGAACTCGACAAATGCCTCCAATGAATACCTGATCAATCAGGCTGCGATTCATACATCAGGCTGTGAGCAGCAGCGTCCAACAGCGTGGTTGACGAGATGACCAACCGGGAGACCAAGCCATTGATCCCCTGAACCTCCACAAGGTAGGTAGGGCTTTGTGGACTAGGTTCAAAGTCTCTTGTGCTCAAGGCGGGCACTTGGATGATCTCCCTTGATCTTTGGTATGCGTATTGGCACTCCACTGTTCAGGGATTTGTTAGACCGGCAGGTTTACCACTTTTGGTAAACTCGTTTTAGCTCAATCTAGCTTCATGGGTGTTTGTGCTTGGCTCAGGTTGTGATGGCCTGTCTTCATTTGCTTGGTGTTTGGGTTTTGGCCTACCTCAACAAATGGCTGGTGTGGCCTCCCAGACAATCCACATGTCTGCTAGCCAGGGATCTGGTCCTTTCAATACCTCTTGTACTTATGACAAAATTATGGCCCAAATCAAATTTGCAAATGACTTCCCAAGTGATACCTAAACTCATGATTCTAGATATTGAAAGCGCTTACCTATTGGTAATTTACTGTGTGTCATTTGCAGCAGTTTAAATGTAGCAGTGTGTGATAAATTATGTTGAAATGATGCATAGCTAGGGCTAATATGACAGAAGGGTGGCCAGTAAATTATTTAAGCAGTTAGCAACCTTTTGGAAGAGGTTATAGTTTTTTGGATATAATCAACAAATGAATTCTCGCTTAAAAAAAAGCAAAAAGTTTGTTTCTTTTAAGTATAGTTTACTTTTCTAACTACAGTACTGAACATACCATAACACAAGTTTATTCTTTGTTAGAACCACCACTACTAAAAATACATGGATATAAACTTCATCCTGTAACTGCAAGTAATGTAAAGACATCTATGAATATAATGTAAAAGGAGATTTGTTTCGAGAGTATCATCATAGTACAGTTTTTAGTCTCTTTGCTTTCATTTTTAGGGACAGTTTAACCACACTGTTATTGAGGTGGTGCCTGGTGATCATGGCTCCAACTGCGTCTCCGTCTTGTGTCGACCCGAGTTGGAAGAGTACGTCAAAATTGATAATCCCAGAATTGTATCCGATGCTAGTCTACCTATCTTGGTGCGGCAGCTTGCTCTCCATGCTAATGTGAGTTTGTGCAAATTCCCAATTTTATATAAAATTAAATATTTTAACAATCATTTGCCAAACATGTACAGGACTAAATGGTCTTTTTGTTCTTTAAGTTTATACAATGTAAAGAATTTTCCTAAAATGCAGGGGTTACTTTATGCTTTTTATATGCAAACTGATCTTGTAATTCTAACGCTGACATTTTTAAAATAATGGTCTTTATGGAGAAGCATTTTTGACACTGGGATATTCATATATTACAGTTTGCTTCACTTGTGTGGGATTCGCTGAGTCGGCCACCCCATACCCCATTTGCAAGTAACTGGATGGAGAGACTGAGAAAGATCAGAAAACTTCGCGAGAAAGTGCTCAATGAATTTAAAATGTGTGATAAAGGATTAAGTCCTCTAGAACTGGTGGATTTTACAGATTTGATAGATACATCTGTCAGGAAGAGGACTGGTGTATATTCAATGCATTTTATGCATTGACCTGGGAGGACTGTCCATGAGGGTGGTGAAGATTGAGTATTATGAACAAGAAAGATTTATAATTAGAGAAGTAGAAAAAATTACTTGCAGGTTGAGGTGGAACATGAAAGAATGATAGGGGAGGTGTAAGAATGATGAGTTGTGGTGAGGGGGGTTAAGAATGGTAGGGTGAAGGAAGAATAAAGAATTGGATTAGACTACTATGAGAGGTGGGAAAATAATTAGAGGGTGAAATGGAGTAGGTTGGTGGATGGGACAGGAAGTATCTTAATGTAAAACATGAGAGAGTAATTGTCAATTGCTGTGTGCCAACAGTACTTTGGCAAGTCACCAGTTCCTATGCATATTACTTCAGTAAATGTTGTGAATTATAGTTGTATGTGGATGTATTTTGGTGGTTTAAGATTTACATAGTTTTACTAGAATTAAGTTTTTAAAATTTTTATTGTATGATAAATGTAGAGATTAATTATTGTTATTGTATGTTGTATTTTATGCACTTAGAATAGATAAGTTTTGGTGCCTTATTAATATATAGTTTCCAGAGTTATATAATGTCATTATTTTTGAGAAATGAAAAGCATATTTTGATAAGAGTATTAATTACCTTCTTAAAAATTACACTAAGGGCCATGTGGTATATTTTCTGGGCAAGCTTCAAAAACCTCAATGCCATGTAATGAGAGACTTCCTGGCTACCACCCCTCCCTTTCTGGCCCGTTGTCTTCGTGAGGGAGCTTGGTAGGTGGCTGCCAGTGATTCTCGATGGGTCAGTCCTCTGTCTTTTTGAAGCCTTATGCTCCTGCTGCTGTCTTCACCAATTTTGCCAGAAATATTTTCCTTTTCCCCGTTTAATTTTTCTCCCTCCTTTCTAATTATTTCCTGCTGACCTTTTGCCAATCTTGATTATTCTTTCGGACTACTGTACTTCTGTTTTGATGCCCGGGTGTTTGGGGAGGCATACTCTCACCCATAGAACTGTAGTACCCAAGGTAGCGAGTGTGGGGTGTATACTCACGACGCACCCCTAGGGGTCCCCGGCAAGACTGGCAACATGTCTCTTGTTGGGTGTCCTATCCTCTAATTGTGGCTGTGGTGGGAACGGGGGCACATTCATGAATTAAAGTATTACCTCTCGTTTTCATATCGCTAAATACTGTTCCTCTTATTACTTCTCAGGCTTGTGGGGTGGGCAACCATGCCTCCGAGTCGAACTGTGTTGGAAAACCGGGCTCTGTAACCTCTGCTACAATGGGCCCAGACCTAGCTCCTCCTTTGACCCTCCTGACTACCTCCCCCCCCCCCCTTGGCTCCCTTCCCCTCCTCTGTGGTTGGGTCGAGCCACACGTCCCCAGCGGTGACCACCTGGTTCCCTGGCACAGCTCTCTCATTGTGACTACTACGCCTTTTAACCCCTCTGGGGGTTCTCAATGCCGTCCCCACCACAGCCACACTCGCACGATCCCTTCCCATATTAATACGTACCAAGCCTTGTTTGGTCCTGCTTCGTGGGCTAAATACTTTGATCTCCTCCCTCTGGATTTTACACCACTTGACTATTTCTCCCTCCATAAATGCCTTGTTAATTCAGTGGATGCCTCCTGTTACTTTTAACCCCAGCCATTTCGGTATATGTCATCGCTGCTCCGTCACCGATGCAGCTACCCGCTTAGCCGCATTGTCCTGCATTGGGGAGACCCCTGTTCGGGTCTCCAAAAATGCTCGGTTAAATGCCAGTGTTGGCACTGTTCTCCTCCCGCACCATATTGCAACTGGTGTTAGGGACCTGAAAGACTGCCATAAGGATATTAATCACTGTGATGTGCCGAGTTTGTGAAATTCCCCCTGTGCGCGTGAAAGTGTCCCCCCCCCCCCCCCTTTTTTTTTTTTTTTTTTTTTTTTTTTTTTTTTTTTTTTTTTTTTTTTTTTTTTTTTTTTTGTAAAATGATAAATTCCCTTCCCTGAATGTCTATGTAAAAATAAATACCAAATTCCACTTACTTTGGCTGTGGGGACGTGGACAAGGTGTGCTGTGACGTTATCAAGGGCTGGTCGCCTGTGTATGAAGCTCCCAGACACGGTCGCGCGGGCCATTCAAGCATTGGGTGTTGCCACAAATATATTTTCAATTATTTGTTCTATGTATTTCCAATGCGGTTTTGTTTTTTATCGTACTGTATATGATGCATATTTGTCCTTTACAATATATATTCAGTAGAACGTTCATAATGTTCCATGAAACTGTGATACATGTCAGTAATGTGTCCACAATAAATGTTTGTCCCAATATTACTTGTTAAAAATTCACTAAAATTACAATACGTACAGTTTCACACACTATTTACACAGTAACGCACTGTATTACACACTCAGTACTTCAGAAGCAAGTAATAATCAACGAAGTAGTCCATGGTACACAGTGCGACTTCACTCTTGTTGCACCAGGTACAGATAGATTTTTGCTTCCAGTTTTTGTTCTGTGTGCTTGCAAATAACACACTTGCGTACACCCTTGGCTTAAGTCCCTGTAGGTGGTATGTAGTCAAGCTCGTAAAGCGTAAGGTAGTCTTGAAAAGATTATAGGAAAATATAAATTTGTAAGGTAGTCTTGAAAAGATTGCTGTGTAAGGTCCCACACGGGAAGAGATTCAGCCACCCTTGAAGAGTCAGTCAGTCTGGAAGAGATTCAGCCAGCCTCAGAGTGTCATTCAGTCAAGAGGAGATTCAGCTATTCTTGAAATATCTATGGAAAACGCCACCATGGAAGCCGCTAACACTGTTCATCTATGCTACTTTTATCGGATGCATCATCATGCCTCATCTATTCATCTATGTATCATCTATATAAATTGGAGAGGGCATAGGTGGGCAAGAGTGGAGCTGAGCTACAACTGGATATGCTTGCTGTATCATTATCTTGAGATCTTCTCTTGATGATTTCGGGGCTTTAGTGTCCCTGCAGCCCGGTCCTTGACCAGGCCTCCACCCCCAGGAAGCAGCCTGTGACAGCTGACTAACACCCAGGTACCTATTTTACTGCTAGGTAACAGGGGCATAGGGTGAAAGAAACTCTGCACATTGTTTCTCGCCGGCGCCCGGGATCGAACCTGGGACCACAGGATCACAAGTCCAGCATGCTGTCCGCCCGGCCGACCAGCTCCCTTGTCACTTCATGGTGGCTGACTCGTGGAGACTGACTCAATACACAGTTTCAAATGTAGATATGATAGAGCCCAGTAGGCTCAGGAATTTGTACACCAGTTGATTGACAGTTGAGGCCATTTTGGACAACCAAGCGCTTGCATATTTAGAATGGGTACGAAAAAAGTTTTCTCGGTTGGCGCAGTCTATACCCTCTAGGAGATCATTTACGTATATCAGAAACAGGATAGATCCGAGTACAAGAACCCTGTGGGACTCCACTGGTGACTTCACGCCAATCTGTCATCTCGCCCCTCACTGTAACTCTCTGCTTCCTATTGCTTAGGTACTTCCTTATCCACTGGAGTGCCCTACCAGTTACTCCTGTGTCCTCCTGCTTATGCATCAGCCTTTTAGGGGGTACTATGTCAAAGGCTTTCCAACAGTCCAAAAAAAATGGTCCACCCATCCTTCTTTCTTGCTTAATCTTTGTCACCTGATCGTAGAATTCTATTAAGCCTGCAAGGCAAGATTTACCTTCCCTGAACCCATGTTGATAGGTTGTCACAAAGTCCCTTCTCTCCAGATGTGTTACTAGTTTTTTCTCACGATCTTCTCCATCACCTTGGATGGTATACAAGTTAAGGACACTGGCCTGTAGTTCAGTGCCTCTTGTCTGTCACCCTTTTTGTATATTGGGACTACATTAGCTGTCTTCCATATTTCTGGTAGGTCTCCCATTTCCAGTGACCCACTATACACTATGGAGAGTGGCATGCAAAGCACTCCTGCACTCTTTCAATACCCATGGTGAGATTCTGTCAGAGCCAACAGCCTTTCTCACGTCCAGATCTAACAGGTGCCTCTTAACCTCATCTCTTGTAATTTCGAACCCTTCCAAGGCCGCATTGGTTTACTGCCACCTTTCGTAATACAGTGACCTTTCCTTGTTCTATTGTGAAGACCTCCCGGAACCTCTTGTGTTGTTCTTTACACACCTCTTTGTCATTCTGTGTACCTGTCCTCACTTGTTCTAAGTTTCATCACCTGTTCCTTCACTGTGGTTTTCTTCCTGATGTGACTGTGTAGTAGCTTTGGTTCAGTCTTGGCTTTATTAGCTATATCATTTTCATACTTTTTCTCAGCTTCTCTTCTCACACTAACTTACTCGTTCCTGGTTCTCTGGTATCTCTCTCTACTGTCTGGTGTTCTGTTATTTCGGAAGTTCCTCCACGCCCTTTTGTTCAGTTCCTTTGCTTTCATACATGCCCTATTAAACCACGAATACTTCTTTTGCTTCTTGGTTTTTTTCCTGTCGGGCCAGCATAAACCTGTTTACTGCCTTCTGAGACTTTTGGGTGACATAGTCCATCATGTCTTGTACGGACTTGGTTGTGAGTTCTGTGTCCCATGGTATATCCCCTAGGAATTTTCTCATCTCATAATTTTCCTTTTGGAGCCCTTTGTTTCCCAGTTCTTTTTGTGGAGAGAGAATTCCTAGCTCTACTAGGTACTCAAAGATCAATACACTGATCTAGATAGCGATAGCTATGGCTATCAGATAGCTATGGCTATCCGCTATGGCCATCCAATAGCTATGGCCATCCGATAGCTATGGCCATCCGATAGCTATGGCCATCCGATAGCTATGGCCATCCGATAGCTATGGCCATCTTACCACTATGGACGATAGCCACTCTAAGACAGATTGCTCATCTCCCCAGGCTCGCTGCCTCAATTGCGGTGAGGCCCACACTACCTTCTCCCAGACGTGTATCCATTACAAGCTTGAGGAAGCAGTCCTCGACTTGAAAAACCGGGATCGTTTGACTTTTCCTGAGGCTAGTCACCAAGTCTGCCGTCTCCACCCTTTCACTGTCCCAACTTCGTTCTTTTGGCCTTTGTGGTAATCTCCCTCTCTTCCTTCAAAGCTTTCTCTCTCGTCGTACCTTTCGAGTCAGGCTGTGTACCTTTCGGCAGTATGACGGTGTACCCCAAGATAGTGTTCTGAGCACTACTCTTTTTCTGGTTGCCCTCAATGGTCTTCTATCCTCCCTTCTGGCATCTTCTCCGCTCTTTATGTTGACGATCTTACTCTTTGCTGTCGAGGTGGTGATTCACCTAACATTCAACGACAGCTTCAATTTGCGATTGATGCCGTGTCATCTTAGGCCATCAATCATGGCTTCAAATTCTCTACTACTAAGACTTGTGCCATGACTTTTATTCGGAAGCGAGTTGTTCTTCGTCCCTCTTTGTCACTTTATGGTCATCCCCTTGAGTACAAAGATTCCTCAAAGCTTTTGGGGTTATTCTTTGATACCCGTTTGTCTTGGTTGCCCCATATCTCTTACCTCTGTGTTGAATGCTCTAAGGCCCTTAACCTCCTTAAGGTTTTGTCCCATACTTCTTGGGGAGCAGATAGGTGCACGCTCCT